ATGTGCTCTTCTTCCGGTAGAGCGGTCCATTCACCTTCTCCTTTCAAAATCGAGACTTTCCCTTTGTACGGATGTGGCGGTGAGCCGTCAGCTGGGTACAAAGCTTCTTTCGCGGCCATCTTGAAGCGCTCGACGCCGTGCTTGCGATACTCGGTTGTGTCGCTGTCGCCGACGAGCGTGGCGTGCATGCCCCAGGAGGCTACGACCGCGCCGTGGAGAATGCCGTTGCCCTGTGGATCTTTGGGTAGTTCTTGCTCTTGTCGGCCTTCGTCGATGAGGAGGCGGGCGCCGGGGGAGAAGGTTGCTGTGAACGTGGGTAGGGGTTTTGTTTTCCAAGATGTTAGGGCGGGGAGTCCCCATGCGTCGTATCTTCCTGCGTTGATGGAGTGGTAGAGCGCGTTTGCTGTGCCTAGAGGCAGGATGACGACTTGTGGGGGGACGTAGGTTTGTGGGTTTGGTGTTTTGGATGAGAGACCATTTACGAGATCTACGATGCCGCCGTCGCCTGAGAGGAGGATGATGCGGATGGCTCTTCCCTCATTGGCGGCTGGAAACAGGACGTTGTCTGTGAGTTCCAAGATGCTGGTCGCCGATTCCGTGGTATGTACTGCCAACTCTTCCATGCCTCTGTGTCCATGTATGATTTCGAGGATCGGGCCGACGGCGCTGGAGTAGAACTCATCCGCGAGTCCATGACCTGAGCCACTCGAGATGATAACATGAGTCTCGCGCTTTTCGGGTGGGGCGAACGGTGGTTGTTTATCGCCAGGTTGAGGTCTTTTTGATAAACTGATCAAGAAAGGTGGCCTCGTAGGATCTTTGTGCTCTTGTAATGTCAAAACAGCCTCTCGCTCGCCATAGACACTTTGAGTCGTGAACACGATCTTGCGATGCTGATCGTCCCCGCCAGATCTGTTCATGATGGCAGCCTAGTGTAAACAATGACTCGGCCGGACTTTTTACTGTAGTGCGATCGCAAATGAGTAAGATGATGATCAGTTGAAAAACGACCGGAAGTTGATCCGAGTGACAAACGTCCAGTTCCCACGAGATGCAATGTCACCCACGCCATGGTGTGGAGATAGGCGTGATAGGCTGGCTGCCCAATCGCGCAATCCCACCTGCCCCGTTTTTCGTTGCGGTAGGCGCTAGTCCGCGTGCGTCATGTTCAATAACGGCCTCGTCGTGAGACGAAAAGCACGCATCAATCTGAAACTTTTTCGTCGGAACAGATTTTCATCATAGGGGTCGACCATTACTTCCTGTTCTTGTCAAGATCGCAAGAGATTTCTCCGTCAAATTTGACAGTTGTTAGATTCGGGCAGCGGCGTCAGCAAGGGTTACGTCATCACTTGGCGATACTACGCAGCCGCCTGGGCTGGAGGAACTCAGCCGCGCCTGCCAGCTACACCAACAAATTGACATTGCGGCGCAGCCAGCCGACGTCGCATTCCACGCCTGTCGGGACTCCATCAGGCCTATCGCCTCCTGCCCTTGTCGACACGACCGTCCGCATCAGCGACAGCAAACCCATCGGATCCGCGCAATCGCGCCCACCACACGCAAACCGCACATGCGACCCTAAGCCCTCCCCACAGCAACCCACACGATCACCGCCACCATGAACGGCTGGCTAGTCTTCATCATCATCCTGCTCCTCCTGCTCTCCTTCTCCTACTTCGGCTGGTACTTCTACGCCCGGTGGAACGCCTCCCGCAATGGCCTACCTCCACCCTCCATGAACCCAATGGTAGCCTTCAGCCGCTCCTCTGACGCTGGCGCAACCTCAAACTACCCTGGTCCCGCGCCCACCGGCATCAAAGGCTGGTTCGACACCCAAGTGCGCAAGTTCAAGAACAGAAACAACCGGTACACAACGGGTAGCGGCTACGAAGACGCCGGCTACAGCGGCGGGCGCGGCGTCGGCGGGGGCCGCGGCGCGGGAAGTCGTCTTGATCCTGATGAGGCGTGGAGTTCGCGCGTGGGCGACGAGGCATACTATGAAGAGCAGGAACTTGGGCTTCATGAACCGGCGTCTACCCATGGTGCGCAGACTGCGAATCCGTATGCCAATCCCACGCCGTATAACAATGTCGAGCCAAGTCGCGGACGCAGCCGCACACGCGATTCCTACGATGAACATCTCGATGCGCAGAGTGGGAGGAATCCGTTTGGCGACGATAATGCGGCGAGTCTGAGGGGCGTAAGTCCTAGGCCGGTGCTCGATGCGGATACGAGTTATCGGGGTGGTGCTACGGCGACAATGCCCAGTGTGAACAAGCACAAGAAGGCGGGGAGTGTGGATAGCGTGGAGAACAGCCCGACGGAAAGTCGGAGGAGTGTGTTCAGGGAGGGGTTGTAGCCTGAGGAGAAATGGGTTGGCTTTGTTTTGATACTCTACTATATTTGTGTTGGTCTGGGGTGGTTTCTTCATTGAGGTGTCTGACCTCACGATTGAGATCTGAAATGATATTTCGTTATAGTTCATACTCGGCAGACAGTGCGTGGTGACATGTTGCCACATCCAGTGCTGACATAAGTCCATAGACATCTGTTTCATGTTGCTCTTATATCTCTTCCCTGGCGTCTACGAAGACTGAGGGGTACTCTTGAACTGAGGGGGATTCAGAATCCGCCGTCGATACCTGCTGCGTCCGTTATCGTCGCTCAAACTGGACGCTCCTTCAATCGCAGCTATCTAAACGCAGATGCCTCTTCACATAAATCTTACCAGAATCCGACTTTACGTGGAGCGGCTCGAAGTGACATCGCCATCAACTATGAAGATTCCCACATAATGATGACCAGCTACTATCAGAGAAATATCCAATATCCGAGGGGCTCTCTTGGTAGGCGAAGATGTTCAAATGCTGTCAATGGAATACGTCGTACACTCCAATTCGAATGTGAAGATAGTAGAAAACGATCAGAATGATAGGGTAGACTGCAAGCTCCTGCTGAAAATTGCTCTTAATCTCGTGCTTCTTCCAATCTGTAGCTCGTGTAAAGCTAGTGGCTTGCAATACATGTGACTGCCTCATCCCATGCGGACGTTCATGTCAGCTCCTTCAAGCGCTTCGCAGTACATATCCACAGAAGCTGGTTTCAACGAACCCAAAGAATAGCTTGCATGTGACAGTAATGGTAGTTTCAGAATCCTGACGTCACACGACACAGCGAGGTCGCATTACAATACTACGTGACTGCGCTCATGGCCCGTGCGTCAATACACGGTCACGTAGACTTGCAACTCCCACCTGACAGAAGAGCTCCACCCCATCCACAATAAACCCAGCTTGATACCTCTGAATTGATCTTGGCTAACCTGAAGTGACCATCTACACTGACTCTCGCAGACATGTTACGGCAACCCAACATGCGAGACCGCGGCGCAGCACAACCAGGTCCGTACGGTCCAAACAACCCTCCGCCGCCTCCGTCCGAGCCCCCACCGAGGGGACCCAGAGAACGCGGGAACCAGGGTAGAATTTCTGAAGATGCGGAAGGCGAGAGAATGCAAGGTCGACGCCGTCCGCAGCTGGCTGTACGAAAACGAGATTACGCACGGGCGGAAGAAGAACTGCGAGTCAGACAGCGAGATCATGATCGGAGTCGTTCGCCTGCCCGGCGTCAGGGTCCGCGAGATGAGCAAGATTGGCGTGGCGAGCGAGCCCGGTATCGAGAGCGGTCGCCGCTGCGTCGGGAGCCGGTGGAGGTGGAGCCGCAGCGAGAGGATCGGAAGCCAGAGAAGGCAGAGTACCAGCGGTGCTTTGCTTGTAACAAGAAAGGTTGGTTGTATACTTGCAGATTCCCGACTGTTCCTTGCTAAGACTGTCAAGGGCATAGGGTTGCTGATTGTCCAGCCGCTTTTACCGACAAGAAGGGTTGCTTCCGGTGCGGAGAGCAGGGACATATTGCTCGTGCTTGCAAGGTCCGAGTTGGTCAGATCAAGACTGATGATGAGGTGGCTGCGGATGAGGCCAAGGGTATGGCCGGCCGATACGGTGACCGCAATGACGATAGGCATTGGTCGCCCAGGCAGAATGCTGCCTTCCCAATCAGTCGCACGAGAGATACCAGCCGACTGGAAGCTCACATCCAGCAAGCGTACGGCCAAGATCAAGGTACGCAGCAACACCATCAGGAGCACTTCAGTGAGGCGCCTTCGCGTCCAGAGTACTTTGTCGAGGACGAAGTGGACTGGGACGACGACGCTCTAGAGACGGCCCACGTTGCTCCCGCGGTGAGAATGAGCACCGGTCGGAAGATGTCACAGCCTGAGTATCCGAGGCATGAGGAGCCGTACCGCCACCAGGAAGTCCGAGAATCCCTTTCTACAACCACTCAGCATGCGCCAGTTCAGTCCACGCACCGCAGACCCAGCCAAACGCCCAGCATAGCAAAGTCAGCCAAGGAGCCCAAGCTGGGACTACCGCACCTCCAGAATCCAGAGACCGAGGAGTTTCCGCCGACAGTGCACGACCTCCGCGGCTATGACTACCGCATCTTCGCCACATATGCCGCCAAGCCCAAATCCCAGCGCTTCGTCAACGGTGCCAACGGCAAGATCGCACCAGGCATGTACGGCTCCGAGCAACGCCACGATCTGGGACTTTGCTTCACCACGTACCTTACGAAGAAACGTTGTGAGATGGGTGTCAAGTGTCCCTGGCGCCATCACCCGCTTTCGAAGTCTGAGGAGGCTTGGATCATTGAGTACGGCAAGCAGAAGGGCAAGGAGTTCATCGAAAATGTGGACCGGTGGTGGGCGTTTCCTGAGGTAAGTCGTATGATATCATGTTTTCCTTGAGCTTCACTGACTGTGATAAGACACCGGTGCCGGGTACTTCTATGGAGGGACTAGGTGACGATAAGAAATAGGTAGCTTTCCTGATTTGAAGTTGTTGGATACCGGGAGCTTGGCTTGTATGGGCCCTTGGTTGATATTGGACGACAGTGGGATGAGTCAGGCGAGGCGCGCTGACACGGACCGGAGAAGGCTATGTGAGAGCCCCGCCTCGTGTATGATACCAGCCCCGGATATCGTCGATGCCTTGAAGACCAATGAGCATCATGTTAGCAAAAGTATCAAGGTCATCCGGCTGCGCACTTCTCAAGACATCCATGAAGTCCAGCTCCTTGATAACAAAGTGACTCTTGCTATTCCACGCCATGGCAAAGTCAAAAGCGCTCGTTGCCTTCCACAAGTGCGCAGAAAGCGTGACGCGGTTCTTCAAAGAAAGCTCTTTAGCGCAAGACCTCATCTGCCCGCTCAGCAGGGTGTATATGACGGTTATGTGGAAAGCTACCAAGGCCGTGCGTCTGGCTGACTCGCGGAAGATGTACGACTGCCAGGCTGAGCGAGCGGCTGTACTGGGATAAAGCGGAAGGGTGGCTGGAAGCTCGGGATCCTCTGCTGCGATGGGTAGAAGGACGACACCCACATCTTCCAGATGCGGTATCAGGGCGTCCGCTCGAGCGTATAGTCGTATGTCACTGCCAAATATGAGCATGATCTCATACAACATCAGAGCCTGTGTGCGAGCTAAGATCTCGATGGGTGTAGTTGGTATAGTAGTGGCTATCAGCTCTTCTGCGCGACTTGTGATGAATCGTGCGACGTGCTCAGCATTGTCATCGTTCATGTTGACATAAAGCGCACATGCAGCGTGTGCGTCTTGTAACGATCGTGGCATGTAGTCTTCGTAAAGAAAAGGGTGAGCCCATGGTGTGCAACATTGCTCTACCATCATCTTTGGCGCGAGTTTGACGAGCTCGATTGAGTACTCCACTCTGGACTTTGCGAAGGGTGACAGGTGTCTTGCTGAGAAGGGCTGGCTGACTGGGGAATAGACCTTTTGTATAGTCATTTGGTCTTCCTGAGCTGGTGTGTTGAGCATGTCCGTAAGCGCGTCAAGAGAGTCTGTTGCGGTGCAGAAGTCGAAATCTAAGACGTCTGCGGCGGGGTTGGCTGGCATGCCAGGTAGGTCGAAGTCGAAATCAAGACCGCCATCATCAATCGCTGGCATCTCCATTGGCGCATTGGATGGGCTCAAGTCAGTAGGTGTTGCATATGTGTCGTTTTGCGGAATTGCGGCCTGCGACCGAGGCTGTGGAGGGTAGACGCATGGCAAGTGCTGTTTAGTGCATCGTGCGCAATGAGGCTGCTCGAGACCGCATCTTCGTTTCGCCTTTGCGCATTCTGAGCATGACTTCTGCCTACCTTGTGAGTTGGCGGTGCGTGATCGATCTGGTGGCATGATGGACGCGTCTGTCGTTGGCGAGGAAGGGGTGAGGCTTCCTTAATATATTAATGTAATCCTAGTTCTATTTACTAAGGCGCTAGTCTAGAAGTAGATTTTTTTCTTTTATAATACTATTTATATAAATAGTAAATATTATAAAGCTATAAAATTAACTATAATACTTTTTCTTTACTTTTACTTCTACTAAAATTACTTACTATAGTAATTAATTACTATATTTACTAATACTAGCTACTACTTAATTTTTTTTACTATTTTAAAAAAGTACTACTTAGTATATATTAGCTATAGCTATATTAAAAATAGCTTTTAAAGTAGTACTTTAAGCTTTATAAGCTTATTAGTATAAAACTTAAAAAAGCTAAAAACTAAAAAAAATATTAGTAACTTTATACTATTACTTAAGTAAATTATATACTATTATTAAGTTTTTTAAATAAAAAAATAGCTACTTTTATTTTAAGTATATACTTTATTTACTTTTTTTTTATAGTATAAATTATAAAGTATTTTAAGAAATAAAGCTTTATAAAAAATAATTTTATATTTAAAAAGTAAAAAAAAAACTAAAAAAGTAAAATAAGCTACTTAAGTATTATTAATAATAAAAAAATAGTAGTTAAAGTAGTTAAAAAAAATTATTATACTTATAATTATAATAAAAAAAGTAAAAAAAGTAATAGTAAAAAAGCTTTTATATATAAGCTAATACCTCTTAAAGTGCTTAAAATATTAAGTATTATATTATAGATAATATTCTATATAATAGCTACTAGAATAGCCTTTAAAATAGCTACTATAATAGCTTTTTTTTTAATATAATTAGAGTAACTTATAAAAATATTAGTAATAGTAATATAGTAATAAAAGTAATTAATTAATAATAAAGTAGCTTATAAGCTTTAGTAAAATAGTAAAGTAATATAACTAGTAATAAGATTAGTTTAATATTAACTTATAATTACCTATAAAACTTATAAAATAGTAATTTAGTATATATATTAGTATAGCTTTTAGTATTAAATTTAAATTACTATTAGCTTTTTAATATATATTTAAAGTTTTAAAAGTTATAAAAATATAAAAAATATAAAAAGCGCGCTTTTACTAAACTATTAGTATATATATTTTAACTATAAAGCTTTAAAATATATTACTTTATTAGTTATAAGCTAATAAGTATATATAATTAAATTATAATTCTTTTATAAAGTTCTTTTATAAAGTATTTAGTATTATAATTTTTTTATAAAGTATTTAGTATTAGAATAGCTACTTTATAAGCTTAAAAGATTTAAAAGCTTTAACTACTTTAGAAGTAGTAGTACTAAAGCTTTAAGTCTTAACTTACTTAATACTATACTTTTAAAAGTAAGTAAAAGATTTAGTTATATATTTTTTAAAGTACTAGTAATAGTTCTTACTTTTTTAAAATTAGTAGCTCTTTAAGCTATAAGTATTACTACTTAAGATTTAAATTTCTACTTAATAATAGTTATATATAAGCTAGTTAAGCTTTATATTTAATTTTAAATAAGCTATTTTTACTTTATAAGCTATTATAAAACTTATTATAATAACTTATTATATACTTATTATAGAGTTATTTTTTACTACTATAAGTATATATAAAAATAACTATTTTAAATAAATAGCTTAGTAAACTACTATTACTAAATATCTTTTTTTTTAATATATATAAAAAGTACGTAAAAAGACCTTTTAGGCTTAAGCGCGAAAGACAGAGAAGAGGTAAGGCTTGCCGCGCCGCCGCCGATCTTGGCCTGCAACATCGTTAGTCAGCGCTAGTGGGTCGCGCCATCCCAGCTCGGACGACTCCTGAACTCCTCACAACCACCGTGACATGATGGGTGAGCCATTCACCACACCCTTCTTGCGGATCTATGCTACTCAGGCTCATCTTCCACTGTTTTGCGCTTGGGCAATGACTGCATCAGCAAATCCTATCAACAACGGAGCTTTGACCTTGCGTGACAAAGCGAATCTCCCGTGTGTCAATGTTTTTGGGAACCCAATGTTTCCAGTATCGACGCGGAATCATGCTGGATCGAGCTATCATCAGGATTAATGACCCAATGTCTGCCTTCTACTTCAAAGTCGCTGCATACATTTTTCCGATCTTGTTCGCTAACAGTGCGGCTTCTCTATCAACGGCTTCACAAGGACATCCTGCAACCTCTGGTGTATGGCAAAATGTGACGCCACGTACAATGGCTCAATCTGTCTCAAGTCCCTCATCCTCCTCTTGGGTTCCCTCTCCGCGTCCTCGGTACCAGCTCTTGTACCTGTATACCGCGTAGGCTGCGGCGACCATGCTCCAAAAGACGGCATGAGATACAGCTTGCTTCGCGAGCTCGGATGCAGACTTTGAAGTAGCCGAATTTCGGGGTACCAGAGCGCGTTCATGGTGACTCTTCCAACGCTTTCGCATGACCGCGACCAAGACTACCAACGCAGTCGATATCGCCCAGACACCCCCGAATATGATTGCTGCGCCGTACCCGCCCATCATCGCACTGGTGCACGTTGCGAAAACCGACCCCGCGACAGCGCTGCCAATGCCCGCATGCATGGCCGCAGCTGCACTGCCTAGAAGAAGTCAGTGTTCAATATCCACTATATACTCTCCGAGATCACGTACCTGCGACGATTCCAGCTGGCCCAAAGCCCGTGGCCGAGAGCGCTATCGCTGTGCATGCGAGCGCAACGAGAGGCACCACAATTAACGCCGTCTTCCACGGATTCATTCTCATCCAATCGCGGATTGCCTTTGCTGTGCCAATAAATCCAAGCTCCTTCACCTTCTCGACAGCGTCGAGTACAGCGTCTCTAGCTTGCGCGGCCAGAATGGTAGCGTTGTCGGCGGCGCGTCTCCAGAGGTTGTTGATGATAGCAGTCCATGTTGCGCGGACGTCGCGGTCTCCGGAGGGATTTCGTAGCGTCTCCGCGTCGTCTTCAGCATCTTCCGCTGCTGGCAAAGGCTCAGCACCGTCGTCAACCTTGTCTTCAGGACCTTCGTTCTCGGGTGTGGTCGCGTCTTCCGTCTCATTTTCGTGGGACGCCTCGTGCTCCGTCTCTGGCTGATATCGTGGGACCGGCTGGGCTCCAGCGGCCGTGCGTGTGGCTCGCAACCTCGCAAAGAACATTCGCTTCAAGAAAAATTCCGCCATGTCGTATATGCGGCCAATGGTAATGGAGTTGAAGAGATATGTGGCAATATGTTGCCAGCACAGCACTTTCTACGACGTCGCTAGAGGGCGGTGATAGCGCAAGTCGTCTCACCGTGAGTCCGAATCGGGAAGTAGCGAGGAAGTTTTCACCTCATTCCTCGTGTCAACAGAGCGAACCAAATCGTTGAGCTACGGCCTACATGCCTTAACCGCATATATTTGCGGACAGGAACGATCTATGGAAGGCCATCTGGCATATGCACGTCGATAACATAACTCATAGGTACTTCGCGGATGCCAACCACAATGCATCAACTTCGAACACAATCGCCATCCCCTTACTGATCCATAGGCAGACGGCCTGTCTCTTCGGCGATGAGTTTGTCGACCTCGTCCTGGATGAAAGCACGATGTATCGCTCTGGCCTCCTCCAACTCGCGCATCAGCCTATCTCGCTCCCACAAAGTCCAAGCCGCCAGATCGGAGCACGTCTTTTCCGCCTTTGCGCGAGCCTCCTTCACCGACTTCAGCTCCTGCCTCAATCTCGCATTTTGCTCCAAAACAAGCTCAAACGCCTCCTTGGTGATGCGTTCGCAACCGGGTGCGGGAGTTGAAGAATCTGGTTGGAACATGGAGGGTGTAGCGGGGTATTGTGGAACAGGGAAAGTCTCGGCTGTTAAGTATGGATCGTTACTGGCGCTGCTGATCGAATTCAACCAGTCGTTCACCTGATTGACACCATCCCCGTGATATGCGGGACGAAATGCGAGACTGATGGTGCGCTCGGGATCCTGGAGGCTCGCATGACCGGAGAAGGTGGTTTGGTAGTGTTGCTGTTGCTGCTATCTTTTGGTCAGTGTTGTTGTTGTGGTACGACGAGGTGTCAGTGAAAGACTTACATGGACAGCAGCCTCTTCCCCATCGTCCTCCATCCTATCGGTATCAACACGATTTGGCTCCATGCCTACGCATTGGCGTCCTCCAAGATGGTTGCGGTGTCTTTAGGGGCTCGGATAACGCGACTACGTCAGAAAAGGCGCAAGACGGAGACGCGTCGGTGACTGCGGACTACACTCACGTGCCTGCTGAGTGAGCGCCTGCGCTAGTGTCTACTAGCGCAACTCTTAGTATATTTCAGCCCCGCCTCCCTCTCCCACCTTTCCTCTCCCTACCTGTGTTGACTTGATCTGACTCTACGCGTAAAGCATCAGCTTACCGCACGAGCTGACGAGGACTCTACGGCCGACTGGGAGAGGGCAGATTCGAAACCAAGCTCTTCACGATCGGGAATCTAGACGTCGCAAGCCTCCATCCGGTGAGCTGTGGCTATAGGTGTCTCCTTCTAGAAGTGCGAGGGGATCCCGCCGCGAACCAAACAAACAACCTTTGCGTGAACGATATCGCACCCCCCGTTGTATTTCAAGGCCTCCATTGTCACGTGATTCCTCGATGGGTACTTAGCCTCTCCTTCCACACTAGTTAGTCAGTAGTCATCACAATACAATCTTACTTGAACCAACATCTCACATCCCTCGCCGACCGATATCCTTCAATCGGTGCGTTGTATCTCCCCGCCTTATCCATGTTGTGAGTTGCATGTATTAACGTTACCTCATAGTTCTTCTCGCTATCATGTCGCTCAGCGGTCTCAGAGGCCGCCCGCCCACACAATTTCTACCCCCGGCTGGTGTCTACTACGACCAATTCGATATGATCGCACTATTTGGCCCGAACGTACCTAGAAATGGTCTTTGTAGTCACTGTCTACAGCCTGGGTGCGGGTCTTCTGGAGATCCCACCGGATGCGCGAACGCGTGTGGCATGTGCGGATGTAAAGACCAGCACGCTAAGAGGGTAAGGTGTCCTTATTGCCACAAAGATCTGATCACTAACTCATCATAGCTTTGCGCTATGGCTTACTGCTCGTACAAGTGGCGCAAAGATCACGGATGTACTCCCCACCCCGATGACATGATCGCGTTACGTCCCGGGATGAACCAGGTCGCTGATCTACATGGCCTTGGAATCATACAGACCATGTCCCATGTCTCTATGGACGTCTTGCCAAACATGGAAAATGCTGGTGTCAAGGATTACTACGCCGGTCATACCATACAACACAGTCATCGCCTCCGTATCCGCACGCCCATCACATGGGTCAACGAGAACGGGAAGACGAGCGCCGCTGCTCAAGTCATGATGGCCTCCAACGGGACGGTAGCACTTCCCACTAACGGCGCCGAAACTTGTCTTCCAGACTCTCAGACCCACGATTTGCCCTTCATCGATCTCCAACTCGCGAGAGCCATCCGCCAAGTCACCGAAGAGCCTTCTTCCCATCCGCCAATAGCAATCCCGGGTCTTTGGGTCCAACCAAAAGCTCCACCAGGCAACAACATGCAGCTCCAGATCATCCCTCCCGCCAACGCCATCACCATACCTTCTTCATCCTCATCGGAGGGTCCCCGCTATCCTGCTTTGTCCCCTACGGCTAGCCTACAACTGCACTACGAGAAGCTGCTGCATGAGCGCGACCAGCGAGAGCTTCAATACATTGCTGAGAGCAAGGACAAGGACAGAATGATCAGGACGCTCAAGGCCAAGCTTGGATGGTCTTTGGATTAGATGCTGGTGAATGGGCTGTACATTGGACGAGACAATACATGAGACTGTCGTGGATCAGAGGCTATGGTCAGAAGGTTAGGCGTGAGGAGTTGGTGTCTTTGGTTCATCAGGCGTAGTGCAAGACGCCTTCACCGTACCTGAAAGTTTTAACCAAAAGCTCTCGTCGCACTTGATGCCATGCTGTGATTAGGAGTTTACATCACCTTTGCTGTTGAGATTTTGTTCACTTTGGAGGCTACGTGTTCCTCATACGATACGTTGCTCTGGTGTTCTTTCCCTTCACGCACAGCCAACATGGCGTTGAGTTAGAGATCGTAACAGTCGTGGTAGAAGATCGCGTCATGTGATGTCGCAGCCACGTGCTGCCAGGTCACAGTCGTGCCTACCTAATTGGGTCCGTAGGTGAGAGCAACACGCCAAGCCGAGACGCGTTGTTGACAACAAACAGCCAAACACTCGACTTATCCATGCACACAGACATCACCCACTCAAACACTTCGCGATGGCCAATCTCTACCTGATGCAAGCCTTGTACGCCCCGAAGCCGGCACTGCCCACGCCTAGTCCTGGTGTTCCTCAGCTCGACGATAGCGTGCAGCGACGACAGAGTCAGTCTGCAACGCCCGAGCAGGCAATACATGGTGAGCGCCTCAGAATGATGGAAGTTGAAGGTAAGAACCCAAAAAGCTGTTTTCAACCCTACTGACCCATAGCAGAACCACCTGAACCCGACTCGGAGGCCGTTGCGCGCTGGAAACCGACTGGTGCCAATGTTCAGTCAGTCGGCATCAAGAGCGAGCTCCCGAGCTCCGACGCTGCGGACAGATTCTTGGAATCGCTCCCGTCTTTTCCTGGCAACATCGCTGTCACGCCTTCTTCACCCTCGTCTATGACACTGCCTGACGGCCTCACGTACCCAATTGAGCGATACCTACCACCTGCGGGACCATACTACGACCAGAATGCTCTCCTTCCCGTCTTTGGCCCGATGTTCTTCAAGTACAAACCCTGTATGATCTGTTGGACCTGCCACCCCGCCACAGGTTATTCGACCACGTCTTGCGGGAAGGTATGCAAGGTCTGCGGAACCCGCCGCCACCCTGACGAGGTAAGTACTATCGTGAATGCGCAGTAGCACTGCTGACATAGGCGCTAGAGCTGTTCCCTATTCTACTGCAATAGAGACTGGTATCGCCAGCAGGAGATTCCATGCGGTCCCAACACCCTTCGAGATCGACAAATCCGTCCGGACAAACAAGAGCTCGCCGTCCTCTCTTATGTCGGTGTCATGTATCTTGCACGCGGTCCAAACAACACTGTTCTTGTGAACCCAAGGCATCCGATCGTTCAAAACTTCTACAAGGACAAGCCAAGGTCGAAGGCACTGATGCGGAAGATATTCGAAGCGGACCCGAGGCATCACTCGGCGTCCATTCCATCGCGCCGTGGGCCAACGCTCGTGGCGAACGCCCCTCAGCAGCAACCCCTCCCGCCGCCGATGGGCTCATACACCATACCGATAAGATCCGTGGACAACAGCCTCGACCCGCGTCTTCAGGGTCGCACGTCATATGGCGCGCCCGGCCAACTGGCGCTTCCGCAGCCCGATACCGCCAGCAACAGCAGCGAAACCCCGACTGACCCAGAAGACATCGAAAAGAAGCTTCAGGATCAGGAGGTCGAGAATTTGAACTTGAGAATGCAGGCAGTTGTGAAGGATCGTGAGATTCGGAAGCTCAGGGCGGAGGTGGAGCAGCTGCGCGCTCAAGCTGCTGACACTGGTGGCGCATACTAGAGCATTAGCAAGTAGCCTGGCTCGCAGGCTACTATGTGCGGCTGGGTCGGCGATGATCGTGGAAGGATGTGCGTGTATGTATAGGAAGGCAAATGTGCCCAGTCATCTGAGACTACATGAGTATCAAAATGAGAGTTTGTAACATTCTAAAGCGAAGTAGACTTCTGGATGACATTTATGGACATGGGTCGTGATGTCGTGAGGCGCGCCGGTGCGGCGAATTGCGAAAGTGGAGGTGGGATGACTAATCTAGCGGCAAACCTCCATCCCCGATCTTCCGACGACGCGTCTTCATCACTCTTTCCACACGCTCGTCCAGCCGTACATCGCAATGCATCGCAGCAGCCACGTACCATCACAACCACGCACGTCAATGACATTCCACCATACCGTCGCAGCACCAGACTTTACATCGACGAGAATGATTACATGAACTACGAATGTGCAGGTGGCCGGTAGCCCGTTTCGACTGTCCCAATCACGGATTGTGCGCAGGCAGCCTCAAGTTGCGCGCAGATTTCGATCGTCGCCTAAACTCCCAAAGGCCCACAATTCCCGCAATTTGCGGTACACCCACATTATATTGCTTACAATTCTGCAGTTTCCCATCGTGTGACAACGGACATGTAACACCTTCTGGGACTGGCCCATCTGGGCTTTACCAGCTTGCTCCAACGGATCCGTAGCCGGGTGGGTGACCGCAACCGACGGTCGCTCATTGGGCGAGCATCTATCAGCGCACGATTCCTTCTTTTTGCCCTTTTTCTTTTTCTTTTTTGCGCGGCCGCTTTCACTGCAGACTTTCGCATTTCATTCTCAGGCGCGCGGACTGAGGACTCTCCAGCAGTTTTCTAAACTGTCAAGCAGTTCCGCGTCTTAACGCGCTGTACAAGCCAATTACTTTTTTGCTGTATCGATTGCTACAACACGCAGATACTTGTTTCGAAGTACAGGAGTTCTTGCAGAGGTATCATGCTCGTGTACTTTCATTAGCGTCATGGAACATGGATATCTAGTAGTGCTGCAGTATACGCTTGATTGGGCTCCAGGAAGGTTGTCGCGAGAATCTACATTGCCGCTGTCTAACTCGCGAAAGCGACGGCACATTGCCTCAGGTACCACCCATCCCTCCGATCCATCATCACAGGCGACCATTCTTCATGTCCTGGGCCGCTTCGCGCCCGTAGAACCGCCGCCACCAATCAATTCCGCAATCCGAGCATCTTTCGCAATCAGCTCAGCATCTTTCGCATTCAGCTCAGTGCGAGCTTGTTCGAGCGCTTCGGCTAGGCGCTTGTTTTCGGCTTGTAGGGAGCGGATGAGCTCAGACTGATGCGCGAACTCTTCAACAGAGGTGCTCGCTTCTCCGACGCCATCGCCAGACTCATGTGTAACTGGTTGATCGGTGATGGAAGCGATTTCACCTTCCGGCTCTTCGTTTTCTTCCAACACCACGCGTCGAGCCATCAGGCGGGGGTCACGAGCGGGGTCTACGCTGTGGGTGGAGACCGGATTTGAAGGTTCAATACCCTCCGTAGCCGGACCGGCATGCTGCTTGGGAACGCCTGACCTTGACTGCTCCTGAAGCCTTTTCGGCTTGGGCCAGACGATTCTGCCCGGCGAATATTGCGGCATCGATGTCGTTCGGTAAAGCTCTCGCACGAGTGGATGATTGTCCTTCAGGACAACAGGGTCTGTGAGCTTTTTGAAGCTGTGAACGACTCCGGCGGCGACAAGGTATACCAGCTCCCTGACGCTGGGACGCACGCGCATTGTCTTGACCACATTGTAGCCCCGAGCCCTCCACCACGCCACCGTCGCGTAAATCTGACCACAAGTCCGCCCGGGATGGTCATTCTTCTTGCAAACTCGACACTTCTTCCTACACTTCTTGTGGGTATCTTCATGTTTGGCCCCCCAACAAACAATGCACACGCGTATCTCGCCGTTGGCGTGCACGTCGAACACGGCTTCGCCGAAATGGCTTCCGAGGGTATACTCGTCGTAGTACGGTCCAGATGGCGGCAGGCAGTTGGCTATGGGTACCTTCAGACCCTTCACCGGACCAATGGGCTTGAAGACATTGGGCTCTGTCTCTACTCGTACGCTGACCAGCTGTAGTTCGCGTTCGGTTGGAAGGTCGTCTGCGAATACATTGTTAGTCAACCTGGTCAAGAGAGGGAAGGCGTGTGACCCTGGCGCATACGAGGTCGTCGCACACCGTCATGCAGCCACCGCAGGATGCTTGAAGGGTATCGCGCTTGCTCATGATGTCGGCGTCGGTTATACGAAAGTACGACGTATCCTTGTACTTACACTCAACTCCACCATCTGTCCGCCTTGCTGTCTCCGAGGGTGCGTTCCGTTGTGGGTCAGGATCACTATCGCGGCGGCCATACACGGAAGTGATGTCGCGTTGTTCCGACATCGCGTCGATACTGGACGAAAGAGGTCGCGGCTTGATCGTGGAAAGATGGAGTGTGGGCGGTGTTCGACGCGAACGGTGCGGTAGAAGATGAGTGGGAGGTGTTGGGCAATGTGCGACTATGGCGCGATATTTTCATATCACGACTTAGCGTCACGCGCAGAAACTTTCGACTTGTCTCTTTCACTATCTGATCAACTTCGAGACGATTCAGGTCAGGATGCCAATGGAATGCCCGAACAAACGCGCCGCACTTCTGCCACTAAGATAAGATCGGAACGAGAGTTTGACAAAGGCCACATCGAGGAGATTATATTGCGACGGGTCGCCCGACTGACACATCAAACCGATGTTCTGGAAGTCATTACTTCGATGTATATCGAAAAGCTTTATGATCACTGTCGGCGAGTACGGCAATATCGACATGTGTTCCTTCCGAAGAATCTCAGCATCGCCACGACGAGGACGCGCAAAATGACGGCTCGCATGTCACCATCATAAAGACTTCCAATCTTGGCTCCGACATCACATGACACATACACTTCTCTCAAGACATGGCCTATGCGCTACGCTCAGCAAGAGTCTGGCTAGAACAATGCTGAGAGTGGTTGTGCGGTCCAATATCCGCATTCTTACTGTGTATTGGCTTTGTCCCCGCTCTGAGTACATATCCTAAGGCACCGGTATTTGACGCGCTAACGCTATCGAGATCGGGCTAGACCGACTGCGCGGTTTCTGCCTGGACCCTCCAACCGCTGCCTTCACTTTCTGTCTCGTCGCCTAAGCCATCCTCATCAACACGTCAAGTCGACTTTTGGACGTTGGATATGGCGCCGCGCAACCGGCTAGACGCGCCAGCGGCGGCCCTCAACCCAGAGAGATCAGACAAGGAGATCTTCCTCGATAGATTCGCGGATAGTCCAGTCGGTGGCACAAAGCTATACCACTTCCTTCGGTCATACCCTGCGATCGTCTACTTTCCTTCCCGTCAAGAGACAGAGCGCCTCGCTCAACACAAGGTCAACGAGATCTTCGACGCATTTGAGAACGTGCATTATATCCTTGAGCGACACGAAGACACGATTCGTAAGAGATGGTGCAAGAAAAGTACAGCGAAGAAGAAGAAGCTTCTCCTTACGGCGCAGCCGGAAATGGCAAGCGAGCATCGCCCTGATCTCGCCGTGGATTTGGCAGTAAGTACGGACCCTCTCAATCTCAATGGAGATCAGCCACGCACGATCCCCGTCTGTACGGCCAGAAACAGCGAAGCTTGTCTGGTGCCCTTCTTGAACCTCGAAGACCTTCTCCAGCAGGGTACCTTTCTTACGTTTCTCAACTCCCGTGGCCATACCCCAGTCGAATCTTTCAGCCAGACTGAACTCCTCAATTGTCCGATCGCCCGATGGCCAGACAAGGTTCTCCGTCCTCGTCTGCACAGATTCACGATGATCTTCGCTGGATGTAACAAGCGGAACTCCTATGGTCAGATGAAGCGCTGGAGAGACCCGCAAGATGCTCGGTAGGCTATCCATAACGGCCATGGAGTTCATCCAGGCCATGGTATCCAAATACTTTGCATACAGGAGATTATCTACACATTCCTAAAGCGATGCTGTCACCTCTTAGTAGGCGATCTCTTGGCCGATGAGAAAGGGCAACCGGAAAAGTATCCCACCAGCTCACCGACGACCTGTGTAATTGAGAAGACTACGAACTATACGAACCGCGCAGAGATTTCACTGTTGACTCCGTACGGTGTTCCCAGACAGTTGAACTTCGACCGCTTACGCAGCTTGATTGGCTCCAAGGTCGGTGAACTGGAAGATCATATTTGGGCACTTCGAGAAGACCCAGGCTACTTTTCTGAGGTCTTCAGTGACTACAAGTCACATCGTGGCGAGTACATGAAGTCGGCTGACGGGAATGTAAACTCTATCCTGAAGGAGCCGCCTCACGAAATGATCGGTCTTATTCTTCGCCATCTCATCACAGACCCATATCTAGCTCTGTTCTATTGGCATGAGTGCTTGCGTCTGGTGGAGCTTCTACAGTTCACCGCTCGGCAATTTGACTCCAGATCGTCTACTAGTCAGAATTTGCCCGAAGTGCAGCACAGAAACTTTCTGAGGCTGTGGACAATCCTCCATGCTATACACACAGACGTTCACGAATGCTTCCGACAGCGAGCTCCGAGAGCACCCGGTATGCAACCCTACTTCGTTAAGCTCATCGCGGATCCCAATAGCGGTAATAGCTGGATCACGATTGACCGAACGCAAGCAAAGGGCGATTCGACTACCACTCGCTTTTTGCAGGTATTATCGCGTATCTGGAGTGTGCCCGTGCCACCAAAATCGGGATTCGTTGCTGAGCTGGATGATCTGGAGAGAATGGTCGTAAAGGAGCCTGAGGCCAAGGGCCTGTTGTCTTCCTTTGTTTGGTCAGACTTTTCACAGATCGCGATCTCCTCAGAATGTATTCAGCAGATCCGATCGTATCAACCCTGGGCTACGCGCATCGAAAATGACTATGGTCTGCTTAATTATGAACTCTTGATGGAGTTCAGGGATTTTGGAATGAGGTGGGCAGCTGTTGCGCCAATGAGACGCTTCAGGAGTGTCTCATTAGCGCGCCTAGCAGATCCATCAGACGGGAAATTCCATTACCCAGTCACCGAAGAACACTGTCACTATACAACGAACGCCTTGCGTCTTGCAGAAGACAATCTCGATACCTTTTGGGCCGCTGCGGACGCATTCTGCAAGGAGCAGACTGGAGCTACCTACCCTGATCTGCTAACGCACGACATCACCCGTGGGCGCTCTCTTCGTCGTACCGCACCGTGGATTGAGCCGGCGACCCAGAACAATGATGAAGTTCGCCCCCAGTACGTGTACAGGCCCCTTCTATCTACTATCAACGAGAAGACAAAGACTCGTGGCATCGCCGGCCCAGTGAGCCATATTGGCCCACATCATTCTGGACCTGATGAGCTCTTGGACCTTCCACCGCCGCAAGTAACAGTCGACAAGCGGTCTCACTTGGTCTTCAAGACTCTCTTCTTCTCTCCTTCCGCGCGGGATGTCCCAGGTGAAGTAGCATGGAAGGACTTCGTTCACGCCATGGTCCAGCAAGGCTTTGAAGCTGAGAAGCTACACGGTTCGTCCTGGAGATTCACACCGACGACCATGGGTGCAGAACGCGCGATTCAATTCCATGCTCCACACGGCGCGCTCAGCAAACTACCTCTGACGTGGGCAAGACGATATGGCAGGAGGCTGGAGAGAGAGTATGGGTGGACGGGCGAGATGTTTACTCTTGCCTAGACTTGCCAGCGCGCATTGGATCGACGTCTGGCTATCTGAACGACACGCATGACTAAGCGCTGGAGCTACGTTTGGGATTTGACATGACTAGATGGCTCAGCAAGAGATTCACGTTGGAGGACATGGGATGCGATATCACGATGAGGAACGAATGCGCTGCCGGAACGCCTTCATGTGCAGGAACAGCAAGAAAGGTACTAGTATACATGCTCCACACCAAGTAGTCAAACTCAATGGCCGCCAATACCACATGTCAGATCCGTCCTGTTCCTCCCACTTCCTGTCATCCCAGGAGCTACATGCTTGCTTCAGCTTGACGCTATGTATCCACAGTCCCATAACATCCTTCCTTCAAACTCCACTCAGCAGGCAAAGAGCAGGTCTCGTTTCAAACCAACGCTTTGACAAAGACCTTGCTCTCTCGTCTTCCCCCTTCACATGCCCGGCTCATAATGATCACCACCAGTCGACACCTTCCCGCGGCGCTCCCCTTGGCGAATCCTGGTAAGTACACGTCTTCTGTATCTCGGTTTCATCCGATTGTAGATAGCCAAAGCCGCGATGTCATCGTCGTCAAATGCCGCCAGGACCCTCCTATCGTACCCCTTGTCAGTCCTGTTTTTCCAACTGCGCTTGGCGTGCTCGTAATCAGTCTCGACGAAGCTTAAGTCATGGCGTGGCCAGACCGCAACGGCTTTGGCAATCGCCGCAAGGGCCTTCTGCTCGTCCCATCCGGTATAGTCAATGCCCGTAGCTTCTGCGGCTTTGGACATGGCTATTGGGAGGAAATGTTCGAAGCGCGCAAGGAGTGCTTTGGCTCGAGTGTGATGCGTTGGAAGGCTTCGTTCGCGTGAATCGGGGTAGTCGTCACTGTACTCGTATTAGTGAGCCTGGTCGGCCTGAGGAGCAATGGTCGCTTTCATGTCAGTGTCTGCGGTCTCTGTCTTGATGAAGGGCATAAGCTCGGCATTTGAATCATCAAGTGCGGCTTCGATGTCAGTATCTTCGGTCTCCGCCTTGATGAAAGGCGAAAGCTCGGCATCCGACGCATCAAGTGCAGCTTCGAGAGGACCGTATAGCGCATCCAACCCGGACACGAAGTCATTGAATGCCAAGCTTTGCTCCTTGAGAGGAGATCGCGCGAAAGCCATCATGTCTGACACAGAGCGAGAGCTTGATGTCGACGTTGAGAGAGATCGCGTCTGTGGTATTCAAAAATGCAACGTAGACTAGCGCGCTTGGCGTCCAAACAGAGCTGTCTGTCCAGGTTTTCCAATGCGTTGCCATGAAGACAGCGATCACGTGATCAGGCGCGACGCTAAGCGCACAGTCCGCGCCTTCCTACTCTTCTGCCCCGCGATGACAGTCTTGTTCGGCTTCTTCTTCAGTGATCAAAATAGTGAGTGAAAAATTGCAACTGTCGCGGCTCTCTACTAACACATAGCAGATGTATCCGCAAATACATCCCGATCCTCAACATCGGTACCCGTACTCCAATGGGCCACCACCTCAGAGTCCTTTCGTGAGCAATTCAGCTCTACAGACTCAACAACATGCACCGCTTCAGCCATATGCGTCGCCTCCAGCGCAGTATCCGCTTTCGCAACCGCCATACCTTCAACAGCAACAGCATCTTGGTCCGTCTCAACAATGGGCTCCGCCACTACAACAACAACCTGTATCACAAGTACAATACCCTGCCGCACCAACACAGTATTCAGTTCCGCCGTCACAGCCACATTTGTCCCAGGCGCAGAATCCTCCACAGCAGCAGTACAATGTACCACCAGGACAATATAATGCGCCGCCACAGCAACAGCCTCTGTCACAACTGAACTACGATTCGCATCCACCTCATTGGTATTCTTCACAGCCACAAAGCTTTGCACCGCAACAGCAGTACTATCAACCGCAACAACCTGCACCGCAACAGCAGTACTATCAACCGCAACAACCTGCACCGCAACAGGCTGCACCGGAACAAGCTGCGCCGCAACAGCAGTACTACCAGTCGCATCAATCTGCACCGCAACAGCAGCACCATCAGCCACAGCAACTTGCACCGCAACAGCAGTATTATCAACCGCAGCAATCATACTATCCGTCACAACAGCAATGCGGCCCCCCACCTCAAACGATCAACTTGCCGCAACCGCAGATCCATCAGCATCATCCGCGAGGCGGGCCAGGATACATACCACCTCAGTCTACACCACCCTATGGCGTGAACCAACAACAGCCTTCACAACCCAAGCCCTTACATCAACCAAACTTCGGTTATCAGTTTCAGGGAAACCAGTCGAACTCATCCCCACAACCACCGCTCTCACAACGTACACGTCAAGCTCCGGTTACCTCTACCAGAGGCGGACGTCAACAAACCCGGCCACATGTCCCAGGTCCTCTAGTGCCACCTAGTAAGCAACCTAGCAAGTCTAAATTGTCTTCATCACTAAATTCCCCAGAACTCAGTACACCGTCGCTCACCAACGTTCGACATCGGGGCTCCTCGAGACAGGACGCCGGCTCTTCACGTCCTCAGCGATCTGAGCGTGGATCGGGTCAGGCTGGGACTTTTCCGCGTCGCCTTCAACGTCAACAATCCAATCTTCGGGGCCGCGGCATTCAAAAGCGGTGTACTGATCTAGTACTTTACAAACAGCCAGGCTGAGTCTCGCTGGGATGCAAAGGTCGAATAACCTATTCTCTCGCCCGCTTGATGTGCCCTCTTTGCTGCGTTTTGCACTATTTCATGTCCTTACTGTTTACAATACGGCGTTTCATATCCTTCTATGGTCAGACTTTGTCTGATGATTCCATTGTTCTATACGCCAAAGCGTATAGCTTCTGAAGTGTTCGGCAAGCATTACTGCCTACTTTTCTTGCGATTCGGCTGTACCTTGGGTATGGTGTTGCGCGTTTCCTTACTGTCTTTCATCACTGTCGGTACCTCAAGGTATCGTATTGTTTGCTTCATCGTTTCCCTGGCTATGCATTAGCGCATAGTTTTGTTTCGTCCCTGATGGCGTACAATCTCTTCACCCTTCTCTTATCGACTGCCACGCAAAAGGGCAATCGTGATATGGCACCGCTTTCTGCAGGAGCATATGGCTTGTTAGTATGGATTGCGTCATATCTGCGGATTCTTCTAGTTCTTGACGTGGTGGAATTACCCCCAGTGGGCGCGCATCTGCGATAGCATCGACTCCACTGCGGTCAAATCGTAGTCCAATCAAGATATCACCATCTATAATTGTGCTTGTTCATGCTCTATTCACCCTCTAACCGCTGCTAAGACTTCAGTACTCTTGTTCCAGAGCTCCTTCGTGATCTAAGACCCCAAGTGTGAGCTAATTCGCAGCGTTGAAACGCCATCACAAAACTGAGCAGTTGCTGCCCTAGCACTTGACGCTATCTGGGGCCATTGAGCAGATATCGCTTTCATGTTACACGCTGTATATGATGAACTTTGGGGTAACGAGTACTAGACTCACCAAGGCTGTATATATCCGGCTGGCCATCATGGGATGGTCCAAACGGGTGTGGCAATGCGCAACGCTAAGCGCACGGTTCGCGCACGTTCAAGAAGACTCGTTCGACAATACCGGCTCGAACTTCATCACACCTTCTCAATCAATGAACTCAAACTTTAAAAACCATCCAGATCTAATCAACACACATAATCGACATACCTGGGAGGAAGGCCAAAGTCGCCCTTCCTCCCAACGAGACCCGGAGAGTCACGACACCAAATCGCGCAAGTCGCGCAATCGCGCTAAAGGTATGAAGTCTCGAAGCCGCCGTGCGCAACCAATGCTGTACTGACGCTATCTTAGCCAATGCGCGCGTCCACGAGGAAGCATATGATGAGTACTACGACTACGACTACGACTACGACTACGACTACTCAGGAAGAAGTTACCTCTTCGATGACTACGAACTTGGTGAAGTCGGTGCCTGCGATGATGATCAACAGCATCGCGACACATCTCGGAAGCACCACGATCCGAGTTACGTCACCGCCAATGAATCATACGGGGAAACACGCGACAAGCCGAAATCACAGTCAAAGCATGAAGACCCCGACCTCTCTTGCTACACCATACCAGCGGTAGAACCTATGGCTCTGCCCTTATCAGCGCTGACTACAAATCACTATATCGACACCAAGACGCTGCGCAAAGCGCGATACGTCGCCATGGGGATAGCCATAGTCAAGGCGATAGCCGCTGACCGACACGTGTCGAGCGTTGACTTTGAGCCCACTCCATGGGGAAGAGTCGTCCCCCGAAAAAGGCCATGGCACAGGTACGGCACTCTCCCCAATGGGAAGCCTAACAACGGACGACTATGGCCAGCATTATACTATTGCGACTACACTTGCGACTACGGCTTATGCTATAAGACCTTTGGTACACCAGATGCTTGTCATCTCGGACCACACTGTCGCTGGAAACACGAGATCAAATGGGCTGATCTTGAGTTCCTTATCCGAAGCGGTCGAGTGTCACTTGGACGAGCTCGCATCATGCTCGCCAATTGGCAGACTCCCGTCGCGCCGAAGATGCCGGCTCGAGCTTGCAGCCGCATGTACGCGATGCTGTTCGGTCTCGGGGAAGGGTTGGCTGACTCACAGCGGTTAACCTTCTAGCTGCCACCCATAACTTTGATCCTCAAGTCACCAGTTCCCCTAACGGGTATTACTACTACCCTTGCGCGCACCTTCCCGTATTCGAGCAGTCGACGTCTCATCGAGAGTCGCAAAATCTCACACCAGGGTCGGGCCCGCGCTCAGTCAAATCGCCCTTTACCAGCACACCGCGCCCATCATGGAATCTTGATCACTGCCTACGTGCAGAGATGTTCACGAGTCACTCTGAGATAACGAGACTATTCGTGGTGGAGATACACAATCATCGTACGACCGAATCTCTTGCGCGCTCACTGAGTAGCACGATGATTGCTGAGCCCCTACAATGCACATAGTCGTGCGATTCTTGTAGTCCGTCAGTCGCTCATGGAGAGACCTGAAGCTACTATGGTCATGTGACGAACCAGGTGAATGAGCAACTGCCTGTTGGTAATCGGTCTTGGAACAGTCATTCTTGACGAAGCCGCTGCCCGGTGCCAATATGTGTTACGCTCTAGTACCCCAACGTCTCCACTTACTACACTCACGTTATGCGAGGCAGTTGACCTTATCAGCTCGCACCAAACTACGAGAAGAACAGGTGGAGACTTGTCATCGTGCGATCTGGTGCTGTCTTGATCGCTTTTGAGATCTGATAGTTGCCGTGATCGTGCGATGCACCAACCATGAGCCATTGCCTGATACGCATCGGTCTTGCGCTTTCTTACCTGTGGACGAAGCCTTTGTCTGATGCCAATCGGCCTAGCGCTCTACTTCAGTGTCGAATCGATCTGCTGTGCTCGCATAGCTTGATCGTAGACGCATTAGTTGATGGGGGAAAGAGGTGAGGGTGTACCACTAGAATGGTCAAGATCATCACAGCATGTAAAGTACACCAGTAGTAGTATAACACCTCGTGCATTCTCCTCCTTCTTCCAGTGTCTTCGCTCGCATCGTACTATCTAACCCATGAGTCGTACACGATGCCTGCCAGCGCCACACGAATATATCATTCCGATCTTCACACGCGTTCGACATCGTCACCGCCAACATCTGTGATGTGGAACAGCAACATGATATCCCACTTCTCCTTGAAGATAGTAACCTTATCAACAGTCTTGTGACCTAGTCCTTTCCTACGCTGTATAAGGAGGTAAGCGACCCCGGAGCCATTCGGGGAGCCTAATAATGCATTGAACTCCACTGAGCCTGCGCTGTATGTTGTTCCCGGCCACTCTTTCATTACAAGTCTGCCCTGTAACATTAGATAGGTAACGGCAGAGCGCGTGACATCGTTGAGAACGTTGTGTCGAAGTACGTAACGTAGGTTTGACTTCTCGTTGGCTTTTGACAGCCATTGGAGATACGCTACATCCGACCAGTGTTTCAATTTCGGGATAACTGAGTAGCATCGTCCGCACTCTTCAATCATGGCTCGGGCTGTGTAGTTGTCATACGCCACTATAATTCCATCCGAGGGGTTGATGACTTGGCAAAACAACGCTTCCGTTGCTGCACAGCCTTGACCACCCACCGCTTTCGGGTCCTTGCGTTGGTGGCCGACGCAAAAATTGGGTCCTTCCTTCTCATCAAACTCCCCATTTAGTCCAATGAGCCACAGAATGTCGCAGAACCATTCCTTTGCGGTATCTGGGTATGTAAATTCGTCCTCTTCGTACCCCCATTTTTGGAGATCTTGCACAGCTGTGAATACACTTTCAGTCGATTCTGATGGTTCTGCGATCATCAGTTTAGATAGCTGGGCGCCTTTTACAACAAGCCTCTCGAACTTTTGGCTAACGCGCCACCAATCAACTTGCTTCGCATCGTTCGAGCTACCCGTGTCTACTTTTAGCGACACCGCAAGCTCCTCAAACGGTGATAAGTTTGGATGCGCGGCTGGAGCTGGGCTCAAATCTTCCACCGGACGGGTTTGAGGATTTGACGTCATCTTTTGAAGGAGTCTGTGAAACATGTCGGGATGAAACTAAGGTGGTATTCAGATGCGGTAAGTAAACCTGGCATGACAGAGCCTTTGTATACCAAGTGGACGCTGTGACGAGCTACATTTGTTCACGAACAACTGTGAAACACAGTGTTGTCAATATCTCCGGTACGTGAGACTTACCAAGGGTGCCGATTCATTGTGCAATGATATGCGCTCGCGCCTGTTTCCATCTCTTCCTGGTGGTGGAATAGCGCATCTCTTCTTCCTCTGAGTGAATGCTAACAAAAGCTGGGAAACGCCCGTCACGGTGTTTTGAAGCCATGCAGGGCCGCAATAAAAGTCCCTTAGATGAAAGTGCTGTCGCGAGATGTCCGATCGCGCATCTGGTTTCGGGCATCGTGCTACACTTGATGCGATCTTAGGGCTTAAAAGGAAAACTGCACAGTATTAAATGTGGATGATGGTGATGGTTCGTGACAGAATGCAGTTGTTGCAGCTTGCTTGAGGAATGGTCCCAGATCTGCGCGACATCGAAGGTTCGGGGTCGGAACCTTGGAAGCGCCGACGCTATGCCCGACAAGGAACCAGTCACGTGGGCACGCAGATCATGCCATCATCCCGATGTTCCGAGAACGCATCTTGATCACTCGTTTCCATCCTCAAACCTTGCGCCTGATCACCTTTCATCACAGTATTTGGGCGCAGCAATCCTACATGCTTTACCAAAAGTGTCACTCACCAGGCGTGTGGTATATACAGTCAACACGGGATGGACAGGAATTATCACTCGCCGCAGCTGTACTCTTTTCGCTCTTTTCGCCGCTTACATCGAGCTCCACTTCATGATGATGTTGTGTTGTTCAATGACTTTTTCGTGTATGGCTGGCATTGTTCATCTGTGTAGAGAACACATTTCGCTGAACCATACGTCGTTTTTCCTCCTACATGCCTCTTGTGGTATTAAGGCCGACCGTCGTATCTGCCACCGTATGTCTCAAACGTTGGTTGTACCTCTTTTTCGTACTCGCGCCTCTTGATGTATGCATCAACTCCTCGCGTGCTTGTTCCGTACATTTTCCAGAGCTGACCTTGCGAGCTCTATCGCGTCCTCCAATTCACGGATCAAGGAGTTCAACTCTTCAAGCTCCTTGCTCTGATCTGCCAGCTTCGCATCCTTTTCTGCAATCACCGCACGCAGCTGCTCTACCGTCGTAAGCAGCAACGCCTGTTTTTCTGCACCATTCCTCTCGGTCGCAGCCTCTTGTAGTGGTTGGAACACCCCTTCATGCTCTTGCTTGACGTAAGGTCGGGTCGCCGTATGTGGCTTTGCGATGTTGCGAAGTGGGAGATCGACCGATGCGGTACCTGTAGTCGGCAGGATACTTGCCAAGACAGGCGCCGCGTCCATCTCGTTGACGGTCGCTGTAGGTATTGTAGTTAGCGTTGCTCAGTCTATAGTTACCCTAGGCCTAGAATGGGGAGTTACTCACAGTCGTACTCTTCGTATGGCTTGTCCCCGGTCGCGGATCGCGGGGCGGGCGCCTTCTCTCCCCGTAGCGCCGGATTCGACTTATGAGACGCCATTTTTGTAGCGGTCTTTGTCAAGGATACAACAAATGGGTCGGAAGGGAGGCGCGTGTATTGTGAGCAAGTTGCACGGAAGGCTGGTGACGAGAGGACACAAGCGCTACGTTTTGGACAAGTCAGATACTCTTGAACCGTGCGGGAAGGTCTGGGCCAGCGAATGCGCTCTTTCATAGCGTCATGGATTTTGATAGAGCGCAGTTTCAAATTTTTGAACATGGAGGAGACCGGCTGCGGGCGTCAAGACAATCTCGCAAGGACAGCTAAGGGGATTTCTACATTGTGAAGTCTGAGTTTGGAGTTCAATAACAGGCAGCTGACAAGCTTCAGAAGGGATCGCGCATGTTGCAACAGCGAAATGAAAGGGCAAGTCACATGGACCGACTTCACAATGAACGCATTGGATGTAACTGCAACAAGGAAACATCAGAACGAGCAGTTCACATGGAACCTTGACGACTCAAGGTCATTCACGCATAAAACTCGCCAATGTCCGAAGACCTCGATTTTGCTATATGAGAAAAAGCATCGCCATCATCCCAGCAAGTGTCGTGCGTCTTTATGCTCGCACGACACGCCGAGGTAAGGTCAACTACCCTGTCTTTCGAATCAGGATAGAGCTTTGAGTTACATGTATACAGACGCGCGTCGCAATGATCGCTCATCGAAAAGCAAGCAACGAGTGTACGGATCCACTCGAAGCATGAAGCAAAGAAACGAAAGAGGAAGGTCTATAATTCTTCCTCAGTTCAGTCCATGAGGACCCCACGGGACCTTCTCATCCTCCACTGGCGCTGAGGCTTCGTCGTCTTGGTCTTGTTGTACTTTGACATCTTCTTTTTGGACGTCATTGGCTTGTGCCCCACTATTCTCAGCATCCTCGTCATCCATATCAGCTGCTGAGTTCTGTACAGGGAGGGGCTGGTTGGTCTTGTCCTCAGCGCCTTGCGTTGATGAGGTAGCTGGTGGCGACTAGGGTGGGGCCTCTTCTGTTTGCATGGAGGCAGGAGCTGCGTCCGCAGTCGGAGTAACATCTGGAACAACTTTTGTCTTTGCGGCGCCTGTTGGCTTGTATGTCTCATTGAAGACATGGGGTTCGGTAGTCGCCGAATTCTTCTCAAGTTCATGGTCCCGCCGTCGCTCTTCTTCATATCCGCTTCGAAGTTGCCGGATCCTGTAGGAGCGTTATCTTTTCGAGGCGGACGATTCTGGGCTTGGCCTCGAGAAACCTGGCCAGATCCATCCTTGGGAAGGGATGGGTACTGGGAAGAGAACTGGAGGCGCATCTGCTTCGGAGTCGGCGCTCGGTTTGAAGGCTCGCTAGGAACCATAAGTGCTGAGTAAGTCGGGAGCTCGACCCGGTTGTAGTGATATACAATGTTCTTGATTTCGGCCTTGTGGACGCCGCGTCGACAGACGTAGAAGTCAATTAGCGCCTGGGAGATGGAGTGCTCCTACTTACACTAGTTTGGTTGGGCACAGTTCGGGCAGGAGTTGGATTCCTTTGCCGCAGACTGGTCGTAAAAGATATCAGGACATTCATCAGCGTAGAGATGAAAGTACTTGCCAGCCCTCGCAATACCATTCCTGTCACTCGAGGTGGACTGTCTGGGAGGAAACGGGCATTGACCACTGGGGCGGTCGGCATCTATTGTGTCCAGGAACCTCCAGAACTCCTCTGGTGTATTGCACACTACGGTTTGGTTCTGGGTCTGCTGTCCAGCGGGATTGGAGTACTTTTGGGCGAGCGGGGGTGACTGCTGGGCGGGCTTGGGTTGCTGCTGGTTTGCCTGCCGTTGGGGTTGCCACTGGCCTGTCTGCTGGGATGTCTGCTGGGGTTGCTGGTCGAATTGTGCCTGCATGAATTGCGGCTGTCTGTGTTGTGGCTGCACGAATTGTGCCCTCACAATCTGTGACTGAGTCTGGAATTGCTGGGACGGTACAGACTTGTTGACATTCCACCTGGAATCGTATAGACCGCCTGTGAATCGATCTGCAGCCCCAGAGACGGTAGCGGCCTGCTGGGCTTGGAGGTGCTTGAGACGCGCATCCGCAAGCCATATGCGGCGATCGAGATCCTTTGCCACATACAGGTCCCAGACCAGGGGATACACGTGTAGCCATCTCCGAATGCCGTCGTCGACCGGATGGACATCGGCGTAGGGATCCAGTTCCGCGGCCTCTAGCTGTAGCCCCACCCGATAGACAAAGTTGGCAGCGTTTCTGAAATTAAGGTTGTCCTCAACTTGGTCTCCAGGGAATTCTTCATGAAGTCAGTAATGGACTGTTTGCGACCAGGCACTGACTTACGTCTATTTGTCGGCGTTGGATGTACTGGGGCGTGATCGATTGTGGGCCCATAGCCCGCAGCGGTCTGAGGTGCCCTTGGCTGATGGGCGCTTGGGTTTCCTGGGTTGTTTTCTAGTCGAGCTTGCAAAAAGTTTTCATAGGTGAAAACATTTGTACTGGGGGGTGCTGTTGTGTTGTTGCTGTTGTTTTGTTGATTTCGATCGGGGTACGCCATTTCTACGGCGTTGTTAGTATAGAACATTAACTTTTTGAAGGATGTCTTACTTTTGGCGGTATCGTGATCAGTGCAGAAACTTCGTGGGTCCAAAGGTCGGTTTGTCTTTGCGTGCGCGCCAAGCGGGCTAGTGCAGATCTGACGACACCGGGGGCGTTGACCGGGCTCTGGTCCCTCATATACGCTCGTGGAAGGAGCGAGGAAGAGCTTCAGAGTTGACAAAGAGTCACCCACTCCAGCACTTTGCGATACGTTCGAGGCGGGCGAGTTAGTAGCGCCTTTTTACGCAAGTGTCTTCACAAGCATGGTCAAATCGGCCCTCCCATACATTGGTATCGTCTTCACTCTTAGTACTACAGTATACTTGGCCTTCGCACCTACAATGACACTTCTGCTTCACGTACAGTCCAGCGTGTGTGCCGAGTATTGCTACTTGGATTTGCTAGCCAGTGCACTCGCTGCATTGCTACATGTAGTCTATACTCTTGCTGTTAGCAGAGCACAACATTGCTGACAACATACTAAGCTGTCCATGACTATGATGATTCTATTACTGAAGAAGAAAAGCTGTCAGAATCTGCGAGCTCTAGAAATTGCTTTGGCAAGATCGCGCGCGGTCTTGGCCCGTGCTCAGGTGCTCACGGGGAAAGTGCGCAGGTGGTTTTCACCGTGCGGCAAATCTATACAACGGAGGAACTCTAAGTCCCCAAAGAAATACGAGGGGCACGGTATGGGCGTATGGTTTTTGACCGAAGCGACATGAGTGTAAGAAAGACGAAGTGGTGGAAGAAATCTTAAAAACCGAGATGAATGGCGGAGATGACGAGCGCATTGCGCTCGCATGCGAAGGACTGGAAACAAAAAAACAAGGGGATTTCCAAGAGCCATACAGTCCTGTAGGTGCCACCCAGACCCGATGCTGGGGCAAAATTGTACCTAGGTAGAACAGCGAGTGATACACTACCTATGCCTTCCTAAAACGCTCTCCCGTTTACATGTGAGATGACGGCTTCCGTTGATGGTAGCTTGGATACCTAGGTACGCTCGCACTTGCGGCTGGCCTAGTTATATTACTCTAGTTGTTCTAGTTTTGACCAGTCTGTGTTCGAATGTCCAGCAATTGAAGTTCCACGGATTGTTTGGAAGGAGAAGTCGAGTTTGCATAGCAATGAAGGTGTCGGGGCGTCGGGTTTGAACTTGCCGACGCTATCCCCAATGCGCTATAATATCCCGCCCTATCCCTGCAAGGGGCTCAACACCTCTTGAGTGAACTACCACACGCAAGCTCGGCAGCTGAGAACATCAGGCAGATTGAGTATGAATGCAGCGTATGCAGTATTGAGTACCCCAGCGGTGGGCATGTGTCACTTCAAACGGCAAGCAAGCGAGTCGCCCCTTCCAGCCTCACTTACATTCACACCTGGGCATAGAGATGGAGCTGATCAAAGAATGCACCGCCTATATTCGCAGTATCGCCAAGAATGCACATGCTAAATGGCTCTTTCTACTAACACCATCCCTTTTTCTCGTTCACAGTCTCGACGTCCTGCTAATCGTACACAGTATGTCGATTTGTACCCAAAGCAGCTGTTCGACGCGCGAGCCGCAAAGACCCACGGCTACTCCTCATAAACCATGGCGCGAACGCCAGTTCCTTCGTACTCAGTGGCAAAATGGTCCAGGGGTTGGACATCAGATGCCGTGATGGTCGTATCCGGTTCGAGGCGGAATCGATTGACGAGCATCGCCAAGGTGAGATAGATCTCGGCATATGCCAGATTGATCCCGAGACACTGCCTTGCGCCCTTGGAAAAGGTCACGAGATATTTCTCAAGCTCTTTTGCGTCTTCGGTCTGCCAACGAGCGGGGTTAAACTTCCTGGCATCTTCGCCCCAGATGCTCTCGTCGAAATGCATGCTGTAGGCGGATATGCCAACGACAGCTCCAGCGGGGACAACCTTTCCGCCTACCACGAGAGGCTGAATTCCATGTTGTACGACTCGAGGAAGTCGTCCCGGTACGGGCATGGCATAGCGCAATGATTCCTTCACACAAGCAGTCTAGGAGGGTTAGCTTCGTATTGCAATCTCATCAGGATACGTACCAGATATGGAAGTTGCTCTAGTTTCACGAGCGTGAAATCCTGGGTCGCCGCAACGCCGCTTTCCCTCAGTTCCTCTCTGAGTTGCACAAAGATGGTAGGGTCTTTCAGCATATGCTGAACAGCGGTCGAGAGCGTGAATGCCGTTGTATCAGAACCTGCAATCAAGATGTTCGCGGCTTCGGATTCGACTGTCGCATCGTCGAGGTGTTGCATAGCATCGAAGACAATCTCATGGTCCAAGGATTTGCCGGACGCCTTCAAAGTTCTGAAGTTGACTACAGTCTTCGCGACCTTACGTAGGAGACCCTGGAACTTTGCGGCCGATGTGCTGAGCCTGGCAGTCACACTTGGTGGGCAATTGAATGCAATCGTCCGAAGGATGGGGAAGTACAAAATGTCCCAGATCTGCTCAGATGCTAGATCAAAACACTTGATGAACGGTGCGTCGAACGTGTTGTCTTCGGCTTCGGTAAGCATGTTGAAGGACTCCCCAAAGGCGATTTGCGTTATGAAATCAACCGTAAGGCACCTGTAATGGCTTTAGCAACATCTCTGCCCCAGATAAAGTTGGGAGTGCTACCTGAAAGCGTGATAGAAGTTGATAGCACCGTTGTCTTTGGTATCCGATAGCCTGTCACATAATAGGCTGACTTTGGAGAACAAGGTCTGCTCCATGGATCTGATTGACGCTTTCGAGAAGAAGTTGTTCAGAAGCTTACGTCGCGCACGGTGTGCATCTTTGTCTGCCTCGATGAAGACATTGGATAGATTGTTGAAACCATCATAGAAGTACTTGTGTTTTGGGAAGATGTACCGCTGCGAGTAGATCGTATGATAGAGTGTGGGATCAGTAATGTGTAGCTCATTTGGCCCGATTCGGAGTGCTTGAGTGTCTGTTCAGGCTGTCAGTATGTGGCCATCTAACTCATGCTCAGACGTACCATATTTCTCATGCAGCTGCTCGAGTATCTGTTCCGTTCTACCAGTCTTGCTCAAAGAGTACTGCCACCACGTTGATAGGGCCGCCTTGTAGGGCCCAGGAAAAGATGCTAGCGGATGAAAGTACAGCAGATAAACTGCACGGGACAAGCCCAAAATAAGAACGAAGAGGACGAGACCCATTCCAATCTGGAAGCTGGAGCGTCCGCCAAGGAAGGATATTTCCCACGCGTCCTTGAGTTGAGAGGCCATGTTTGCAGAATTCGCTTTGAGCCACGATAGAGTGATGATGCAAAATATCTTCACACTCAGCAAGAGTTAAATGGTTCATCGCTTCGTACATCGCTTCGTACATCGTACTGTATGTCAAGAGTTCAATGAGGCTTGTCGACTTGATGCTGTCGGCGTAATAGATATTCGGACCTTTACAGGAACACTGCAAGGTTACTCGCCAAGAGAAGTTGCATGAAGTCGCTCCACGGATTCCGAGAAGTTGATTGTTCGACGCGTGTTGTACGGTAAAGGTGCTGGTGATGCCGGACTCAGGCGCGTTGCGCGGACTCCGTATCCACATTTACAGTACACCGATGCCCGACTCGCGTCAAAGTTGGTCCGCACCTTACACAAGGAAAGGTCTAGACAGGTCTGCGGACTACATCATCATAGAAACATGCAAAGTAATTAACCTAACGTCGATGTAGGCTCTTGGCTGTGTAGCTTTTCCCAGGCCAACGCGCCCACACGATAGCAGGTCCTGCTATCATCAGATGACCATAAAAATTTCCTTCGATTAGAACCACTGAGGCTGGCTACGAATCACTCTACGAATGTGTCAGTACTGTGCGATGGCGAGAGACGTCGCGTAGTTGAGAGGGCAGTCCCCTAACTCGGTTCGATTAGACCGTTCGCTAGCGCCGGCCCCGGGACGGGGCTGCTTCCGAACTCACATACGTCATCATGCTTCCTTGTCTCTATCCCTTCACACGGCAAGCTTCACCCTTTCAAGCCGCCACTTCCTCAGAGAACTTCGCCGCAGACTCTGCGGTGTAACCTTCCGGCCACTGTCCCGTCATGCCAAATATTCCAGTGGCCCTGCTTCCGATCGCTTTCTCCATAGCGTGCTGAGCCACTTTCTTTTCCCATTCTCCCAGACTCATCTCCCCAGCCAGAACCTGCGGCAATGTAATGGCCGATAACCCTGCGATATCGCAGCTTGCGCCAAGATGTGGGCGAAGTTGAATGAATGCCTCGCCTGCCAGTAGCAACTTGCCTCCGAGGAACGAAGCTTTTGTATTGTCAAACGCTAGATGGTTGAAAAGGTCAGCACATGTCTTCAATCGTGCATCTTCATAGACGGCACATACAACGAACGGCTGTGAGAAGCGGCGGGTTCGAGTCGTGGAAGATCTTCCTCCACATTGGAGACAACACCTTATCTCTTCGCTTAAGCTGAGCCTCCCAAACATCTGGGCGCAACAAATCCCCGGGTACGGTGACGTTATGTCGGACACCATTAACGTCGGTCATGTAATCCGCAAAGACTGGCGTCGAAGCGTCGCACGCATCATACCAACACCATTCGATGACACGGTTGCCAGGACGCATGTCTCCGATTGTGCTAGGCGATAGATAGCTTCCACATGTTAGCCTTGGTCGACATCGCCATGTCCAACTTACACCACTATGTAGCTCCCGTCCAGCATGCAAAGAGGCATCTTGCCCTCTATAGCACAACGTAGCTCCTCGGGCGCATCCTTTTCAGGGAATTGTGATCGCCACGCCACATAGCCAACGTAATCGGTCTTCACATCAGGAAGGACAAGGCTACGAAGATGGGATCGCGCACCATCGGCCGCCACGACAATGTCTGCAGTCATTCGTTCCTCGGCGCCATCTTCGCCCTTGTACGCCACCACAAGGTGGTCAGCTTGCTCAGTCAGCCCGCATACCTGGTATCCACACCGCATGGTGACAGGTCCATGGTCCTCAACGTCTTTCTCGCAGGCCATCCATAGCAAGCCATGTAGACCAGCCCAGCACGAGGTGCGCACATCTTCCGTGAACGGCACCTCTACCAAGACCTTACCATCCTTGTCAAGGATTGGAAATGCGGGGTTGCGGAAAACGATGTCGTCAAGCTCAACATCGGGTAAGTATGTTGTGAAGACCTTCTGTGCGTTTGACCACAGACTCAAGCCTGCAGCGCGGGCTTGGAGTTGCTGTTCAGTTCGCATCTCGAGAACCACGACGCTGTGGCCATGAGACTTGAGCGCCACAGCATGCATGAGCCCAGCTATCGAGCCACCAACCTATTGGAATCATCAGCCTCATGTTAGCCATGGCATATAAGGCGGCTTACCACAACAACGCGTTTGTTCATTGGTTCTGCCATGGTTCTTAAGACGGTACGCACGAATGGAGAAAGACGGACGATGCTCCGAGGATGCCTTCTGACGCGGAAACGGCCCTTTTATCGCGTTGCAGTACGAACATGGGTTCTGTCGACTACTCAGCTGCCACCAACGCAGTAAGAAACGTCGCCCGTTGCGCGATTATTGATCAAAGCACCACCATTGGGTAAACGGGCAGCGAGCAACGCTTGGTTCTACATGAGTGGATGGCTCGCGTACCGGCATGCGGCGCAGTCGCATCGTGGCTTCGCCTATCTTCCTGTCCAGACCCGATCAACCAGTCAGACACATGTCCTCGCAATCCTCCAGATCCTCTCCGCTTTAGCGAACCTTATATTCGGGGTCATTGACTGAGATGAACTAGCGGCCCGTTCACGAGTCCCGGGCACGTCACGTGAAACGGCTTGTTTGTCCGATGTTCTTGCCCCCTTGTCGGTATCTGTTACGCGAGATTCCCTCCAAGTCACCTCTCCACATTTATCACGGCATGATGTTGAGACTCCGCGTACCCTGCTTCCCACTAGTCTTCTCACATATATGATTGTCCGCGGAGACCCTCCTTGTCGGTGACGACCACCCTGACGTTCGCACTTCTCGGTGACTTCGGATCAACCTCGTCGTTCTTTCAACACATACTACGGGTCTTTTTACGGCGACAGTAACAATACTATCTTCAGTATGCAAATTGATGAGTGGCTACGCATGTTTCACTAGCGATGGATCAGACTAGGATGATGAACATGACTCAAGCAACCGGCATTAGCTCTCATCATGCGAAGGTGTCTGCTATCACCAGGTATCGTATGTACGGCAAAGGATGCCAAATATTGGGACCCACCCAGTCAGAAACCGCTGCGTACATCTGACAATGCCCACAGGTTCGTTTCCCGCCATGTAGAGCAGGCTTGCCGTACGGACTTTCCTCCTTCAATGTTCTCAGTCTTACCAACGGCGCCATGTTGTGACGCTTGTCGCCATCTTCATCACGATCCTTCACATTTATCCCTGCTCTCTGCATCAGCGCCTATCGGCGCGAGGTCCGGTGGGAGGGTACAGGTCAGGGACGAAGCGATCGTTGGTAGATGACCTGTTCCGTACGTTTCGGCCACGATCGCGCTCCCGGCGAGCTCCTCGTTGATGACCACCGCGCTCGTAGAATCCACCCGACGTCCTCCGATGCTCAGTGTATACCGTATCGCTGTACCTCGATTGTCGGTCTCGATCTGAACCTTGGCGCGGAGGAGTGGCGTCAACGTTCGACATGGGGCGTTGCGTGGAGTCCCTCCTACCGTTTGCTCCATATCCATCGATACTCTCCGAAGCCCGACCCTGCTCTCTCTCAAACTCTAGGTCTTGAACGTGACACTGTAAGCTATGCGCTTCTGTCTCCAACGTAGTGACGCGATCTTGTAGATCCTTATTTTCGACCTCGTATGCTTGGATCTGGGCCTCCATCTCTTGTATCTTGCTCGTCATATCGCTGATGTCGCGGGCGGACTTGGCGGTTTCTTTCCTCATCAGTGTGTCGCGCTGTTCGATTGCGACGTTCTCACTGAGTAAGGCATCCTTCTCCTCCAGGCGCTTCGAATACGAGGCTGTCAAATCGCCGAGGGACTTGGTTGTCTGCGTGAGGCGGGTATGGTAGTCGCTGGACATCTTTTTGGCAGTCGTCTTCTCTTGCTGGAGTCTTGCGTTGTCAGCTTCCTGGTCCGCGATGCGTGCAAGAAGCTCGGGAACCCGCCTCATTGGTGCTATATTGCCATCGATTGAGGGCGGCGCCGCACTGTGATGAAGTTAGTAAGAGCTCCTTCGGAGATAGTTTCAGGGTACTCACAGCTCTGTAGGCGGCATCGGAACGGCTTGGCGATTTGGAGTTGGGGCAGCAGACGCTACATCAGACATGTCGACATTGCTAGGCTGGCGACTAAGCCGAGGGTCACGGGCACTATCGTAGGTGTTGTTGAAGGCCATCAGAAGGTTCTGAATAATTGATGGAGATTTAAGAGAAGAGGAGAACAACCGTGGTGTTCTGGAAGTACATACGAGATTGTGCGTTTGTCTATACGGCCTTGGCTAGCGCGACTATATCGTAGGTGAGCAAGTATTTACTGCGACTGCGGCGACGCCGTCACCCAACCAATCTCCCGCTTCTACGCCGACACCTTACGCTGGGAGTAATATTTTGCTCCCGTCGGTATAGCCGCGGCGACCTGACCCCCGCCAACTTCGCCAGTTCAACCACAACCGCCACGATGACGCGAGGAAACCTATTGCGACACATCTTCAGACACGGCCCAAATTCCAAACTCAAGCGCGACGCAGTCTCATCCAAGGTCGACCAGAATGAAAGATCGCCTCTCATCGCAAAGTCACCCGCAGACGAGTCCAAGCCGTTATCGCAAGATCCGTCGCCGCCACGAACACCCGAGCCACATACCGTACACGTCCTCCCCGAGATCACCGAGGAGGGATCCAGCTCTCCAGCCGCAGATTCGCCCTCCGTATCTTCAAGCACAGGAAGTACAGTCTCCGACCTTGCATCCATAGTCACTGTGCTCGCCGCGCACGCGCCTCTCATCAATCCCGCCACTCTTACCACGCGCGACCTCCTCTACGCCGCCATAGACGAAGCGATCTCCGCAACGAAGGACCATCTTGACACGCTAGCAACTGCATGGGCGCTACTTGAGGCCCTCGCTGGCTTCAGTGCGACGGTCGAGGTGCTGAAGCAGGAGATGGAGCTGAAGATTACGTCGTCCGAGGCTAAGCTTGTGGAGCTGGAAAGCTTTGAGGAGGCGATTGAGGGTATGACGTTATCGGATGAGCGGGACATAAACGGCGCGGATGGGGGTGGCTTGGACGGTTCACCGGGTCGCTAGTTGGGGCCTAGTCACAGGATGGTCGCATAAGCCGTCTGTAGGTCAAGTCTATGGCTCCACAGACTTTTCCGATCTGGAGTACCGTCGCGAGTCGAAAAGAAGAGCAGAAATTAAGGGGAAGTGTGAGAGGATCTCCTGAGGCTGAGTCATAGGATGGGAACCATGAGCAAAGACATGGACTCATGAGATACATTCATGGATACAAGCAATGAAATCAGACTACCGAAGTTTCGAAGGAAAGACTTGTGGGTGGTGCAGTTAAATTCGAAGTTCGAAAAGTCCGGACTCGGCAGCGGACTACAAACCACACAAAAGTTTCGAACGCGCAACCAATCTCTTCACGTAGTCATCCCACACAGTTATCATGCACGATTGTGCCGCAGATATATCTATCAGCGTACTCCGAATTGTAAGCGAGTCGTACTGAACATGGGTGAAGCGCTCGCTGATGTACGGTACCGAACACTGGGCAGCCAGTGATGCGACGCGCATATGTTTCGCGTGCTCATCCATGGCATGCACCGAAGTACTACCACGGGCGCCTTCTACAATTCAACTCGAAATCTCTTCATCTCCGTAATCGACCATTTCCGCGAAAAAAAGCCTGCACTCCCTCTTAACATAAAGCCTCCATTTCTTCACCAGCTCAACATCATCTTTATCCATCTTCAAATAGCAAACTTTCTTCTTCTCTAGTCAAAGATGGCTCCAGCTAGGCAGTACCACGAGAGCCTCATACTATGCGAAATCGAAGCAAACAAGGACAAGTACATACACTTTCTGCAAAGGCTTGTCCGAGCAGCAAGCCCCAACCCACCAGGCGATACCCGAGCCGCCGCAGATGTCGTCACGAAATTCCTTGCAGCCAACAACATCTATGCAGATATCGTTGCCCCGATGGCTCATATGCCCAACGTGGTTTCGGATTTCGAAGGCCGCTTGCAGGACGGTCCTCGGGTTGTCTTGAACGGCCATATGGATACTTTCCCGGTCAATAACCTTGAGGGTTGGCGTTACCCGCCATACTCTGGACATAACGATGGCACTTCGATACATGGTCTCGGGTCTGTCGACATGAAAGCAGGGACCGCAGCTTCCATCATCGCGTTCACGTTGCTGAAGAAGCGGGCTTCGCATCTCATCGGAAGCGTCGCTTTGACCGTGGTCTCGGACGAAGAGACGGGAGGCCAATGGGGGACCAAGTATCTGCTTGATCACTGTGGTGCAAATTCACCTTGGCTAGGCGATTGCGTTGTCAACGGCGAGCCTGGTGGTTTACAGTCCATTAGGTTCGGCGAGAAGGGTAAGTGACATCTATCCATGAACACCTTTGAAGACCTATACTAACCTTCCATCGTAGGCACTCTGCGATTGACCTTCACAGTCAACACTCAAGGAGGTAACGGAGCGTACACACACAATGGCTGCGGAGCCATCGTACACGCTTGCTCCTTGATAACAACCCTGAAGCGCGTGGTCGAGTCGATACCCGTAAAGATCCCGCACCAACTCAAGGCTTATCTTCGCTCCAAAACAGCGCACGCCGTTACCGATGAGATCATGGGCGCTGGGGCAGCAGCGAATATGTTCTCACCCACTTTGAACATCGGCACCATCAACGGCGGCGTCAAAGTCAACGTCATTCCTTCAAAGTGCGTCTTTGAAGCCGACATCCGCCTGCCGATCGGGCTCGAGGCTGAGGCCGTGCTCAATGAAATTGACGACCTACTGCTTTCGTCCCCTGGCGTCTCATACTCCGTGCAAGAAGCAGCCAGCAACCCAGCAAGCTTATCGGAGTACAATCATCCGCTTTCTGGGTACATGGCTGATGTTGCGCGAGACGTTACTGGGAGGGAGCCGGTACAGATCGTTGGCTTGGGTGGTACGGATTGTAAGTTTTATCGCTATCGCGGTGTACCGGCGTTTGTGTTTGGGCCGTCCCCAAGCGGGATGGGTGCAGATGGTGAAGCTGTGCTCATTGAAGAGTTCATGACTGTCATCAAGACACATACACTGGGGGTTTTCCGGTATCTCTGGGATGATAAAAGGTGGGATCTCAGTAGGGGATTGGGAGAAAACACTCCCACGGGCGAGAGGAGGGCTCTCGAGATCAGAACTCGCAAGTAGAATATAGTGTAGGGGATTGGCCTTAACCTTTGCTCTTGTTATATTAGAATTAATGCGCTTGAATGAGACACTTTCCCAAAGACTTTCCAAACGTCGATGTAGATGTGAAGCCTCGGTGGAGTCATGACGGCCACGAATTTGACCACGCACATGCGGGGTGAAGTAGTGACGGTCCGCGCCGATGCACAAGCGCAAGGAAACAGAACGAGTATTTATGTGGACGCTACAGCGGGCCAAGAGCTGACGGACAACGCGCGATGCAATAGTTTGACTTCCAGAGAGGAGTTCGCTCACGGCGCTGTGACGCATTAGTACTAGATGACAGCTGTTGCACAACTTTGTCAATCACGACAGCGACGATCAACACAACATACCGAAAGACTCCGCGGACCTAAGGAAGTACCTCTCACCACTTCCGCGTCCTTCCGTCTGATCAACACTCCAAGCCCCGACAAACGACGTCCAACCCCCAAAGCAGCCATCGGCAGATGAAACTAGCGGTGTCTGGAGGCCTAACGTCATACCCGATGACGCTCACAGGCCATCCCCAGTACAAACGAGATAACAGGCGCATAATCAAACAACAAACACCACAACGGCATTGACATGTCACAACTGAATCGGCGGCATCACCAAAAAAGGCAGCAGGTTGGAAAGTTAAAGGAAAGGATTCGACACTTCGCTTCGCAAGCTTCATCAGTAGTCCAGACCCAGCTAGCGCACTTGCCTGCACTGTCTCCAGCGATCGGCCCTCGTGGTAACCGAGCGGGAAGTGGGGACCAATAAAATACAGGGGTACAAAACTGCCCATTAGCTGACACCCGGCACACTACGGTCTGACGGGCCCAGCCTGCATACGGAAGCCATCCGTTCTCCTGTTTTCCTGGCCCTGAAATTTCGGTTTGGCGTTTCGTTCTTCCCGTCGTTATTATCCCCAAATCCCGAGAGGCGCTCTTTGTTTTGCTTCTTCCTGCGAATCCTTCACAAACCTTCGCGATCCTGCGATTACTGAACACTCTTACATGCCAATCATCGGCCGCATATCTCTACACCGCCGACATAGCTCCGCCCCAGCCCGCCCCCATCCCCATCGCATACCCTGAACGACCGGAGAATCCACAGCAGAACCAAAATGCCGGGAACTACAATGACGAAAACGAGTGCATACCCCTACATCCTCACCACAGTCGCAACCCGCAAAGAAGGCATCTCACGCGCCCAATTCCACCAACACAACGAGGAAAAATACGCACCTTTACTCAAAAAGATCGCGGGGAAAGTGCATCCATTGTCGTGGACGCGGCACTACCATGTTGACGACGAGGAATGTCCAATCGGCATTCCGCGGGTGTTGATTGGGGTTGATGACGGGATGGATTGGGATTGCATGGGTACCATGGCGTTTGAGGATGAGTTGCATTTGCAGCAGTTTATTGCGTTTATGCATAGCGATGCGGCGATTCCGGTGCTGGAGGAGGAGGAGAAGTTTGCGGAGCCGACGAAGACGAAGTTGTTGGTTATGAAGAAGGGGGTTAGTGTGAGGGAGGGTTAGAAGAAAGGTGGGGGTTTGGGAGTTTGGGAAGGAAGAGTGGGATTGGAAGCGAGGCTGGAACATGGTCTTCGGGAATGCAATTTGGTCGGAACAGGATGTTTATGTTGGGTTATCAAGGATGTTCGACTTATGATATTGAGGAACGTAGTCATCATGAACTGCATCTAAACTGCAGTACATACATCCGTTTTTCTCTCACGACGTGCCTACGAAGGAAGCCACTCCCCATCCCAATCCTCCCTCCTCATAGCCGGCCCCCACGAATCTCCTACACCCTCTTTCCTATTACCCCAGTCATCGTAGCCATCCTGACACAGCATCGGAACCCTGTCAGTCGCCCTTTCGAAAGAGACATACTCTTCGACCTGTATAATACCACCATCTCGAATCCATATATCGTGCGGAAAGTGCGGCATCCCTCTGTGGTGGTATATATGTCGAATGTGTCTGTGGTTGATCTCAGCGAAGCATTGGAACTCTTCCTCGTTCTTATAAGATGTGCGGGCCGCGAAGACTGTGACGACGGTGTTGTTCCACAGTCCACCGGCAGCGTCGTGGAAACAGTCATCACCGGGACAATATCTAGCTCTAGCAGCTTGTTGTAAGAAGCGAGCGACGTTGGGTGCCGCGGCAGGATCGGTAGGTTGAAGTCCACTGGACTTGGGCAGTCTCTGAAGAATGCCTTCGATGTCGGACTTCTCATCGTCTTCGACGGCCATACGCTCGCGGGGGATTTGTGACATGAGATAGTCGAGTATCTTCTTCTGTCTCATCTTTGTTCCAGCTTTGCCGAGCTCAATGAGCTTTGTTGGTGACTCTTCGATGAATTGTCGGACTAGTTTCTCTACAATTGTGCGTGCTTCTAGGCGGATCTGCTTGATCGTACGTAGTATGGCGGTCGGCAGATGTCTTGTGACCAGGATAGCCCTTTCTCCGTCTATAGAGACCTCGGTGTGTTTGATTTGGCGTGGCAGTCGCTCATAGACCATTAGACGCAGTTCGACGGGAAGACTCATGAACGGGAAAGGATTGTGCTGGTCGGTCAACATGTCGGTTACTGGGAGGATATACGCGTTGCTCTTAGAAACAAGAAGGTTTCAATGTCCTGCAATATATCAATACAATTATGGATTAGCAACAAGATCATATAGAACGGCATTAATGATCGAATGAGAAGACCTGGATAGATATAGCGATAAGAGACATCCTATCGGAGAGACCATGAACCATTACCGTGCCGTCCCCAAGTCCACGGGTAAGCCGGAAAGAGCCATTTCGGATGATTTGTAAGATGGTTGGCGAAATCTGGCCAGCAAACGGACGATTGATATCGGATCTCCGGAAGTAGCTGTATGTCGAGATCTAGCCAGTCGAAGGTGATTGATCATGCGCGTCGGGAGAACGTGAGTTGTGATAATCACGTGACGGTCGCGACCCTATGTAAGGGTCGCGAGATACATGAGAGCGATATTGGGATGCCATTGGATGCCTTTTCGCCCGGACGATTCTTCAATCGAATCACCCTAGAACCGACATTAACGTTAGGTTACCTACTTTGCATGTTGTAACCTTGATGTAGTCTCTAGACCTGTTCATTCTTTCTTGTATAGGGTAGTACCGTATCACCAATCCTCGTGTATACCACCCAGATCGCCTCTATTGAGTTATGACTACCGGAACTGCACCCTAGCGGTATCCGCGGTATCGTGTCATACGACTGCGTTGATGCAACAGTACACGAACACTTCCAGCACGCTCTTTAATTCCGTCGCTACAAAGAACGCCATGTCCGTATCCTTCACGAAGAAGGCAACCAATCTTGAACCCAATCCTCCTGACTCATACAAGGCTCGAACACAAAGCTCCCATCCGTATGAAACTTGTCGATATCGAGTCTGACGGGCAGGTTATTCGGCGCAATTCTAATCCCCCCGTCGGGCGCGTCTATGAGCCTACACATGGTATCTGCTTTGATAGCCTTGTAGCGGCGATTTGTAGCAGGGTAGCCCATAGCAGTGTGATGGGAGACCTGTACTTGTGACGCGACATAAGAGCGAAGCATCGACCTAGTCTTCCAATCATCGAGGTCCGCGAAGCATACAGTAGCTATAGTGTCATACCATGCTTGCGTGCCTGCTTTTGTCGCCAGAGCCGCTTGAACAAGAAAGAGGGCAATGTCGCGTGGTTGTCTCATTTCCCACGGGGAGGGGTCAAGGTAACAATGTCCCTGGAAATGTCGCCGGATCGTGGCGTTCACATGGAAAGGACGACCATTCTGTAGATGATTCTGTAGCTGCGTCAGCTTCGAACATGGATGATATTGGAACGTAGAGAACGACTCACCAAATAGGCTTTGCGTTCCGTGCGTATAAGGTAGATGAGCTCTTGTAATGCGACCAGGTCGGTGTCATGGCCTATGACCCGTGGCTGCGACTCCTCCACGAAAGTCCGGATCAGATTCGCGACGATGTCATGCGCCTCGGCAAGGACCTGACGGCTCGTCCTCAAAATAGCTACTGGGAGGTGACGTGTGATCACGACCACTGTTGAGCCAATCTTCTCGTTCGTGCTGGCGTAATACCCGGTTACATAGCGAATCTCAGTGTGCTTGATCTGACGGGGTAGGCGCTTGTAGACCATGAGGCGCAACTCTGCGGGTAGGTCCATGAAGCGGAAGGGATTGGTGATATCCTGGGTAGACATCGTGGTGGTGCACTTCAGAGCTTCAGTGAGAAACAGTGTCGCTTCTCTGTGTGACGTGCGCAATCCCGGGCGTGCTTGATTGCGCGAATTGGCAATCGGACTTTGCTAAGGTCGAAGTGAGGAAGAGGACGAAAGTGAAGGTAGCCCTGGCAGGAGCACTCGACTTTAGCGCCGCTTGGCGTCCGAAACGGGCGATTACGTTGATAGAACGCCATCTATCGAGTATCGAAGGCAGGCACCCTGGAGTCAACTACCAGGCTCCCGGTACAGTGGCTAGTTGATGTCTCGTGCCCCTGCATGATCGTGCGCTGCCTCACCAACTCAGGCATTGCGGTACAAGCCTCTATCTGCTTTGCTTTGGCGCCGCATCGGGATCTGCTGCAGTCAATAGAGTCTCTCAGTGACCTCGCACTTAGGTAGAGACTGAAGCGAGACTGGACGGCGCAAGATGACTCTGGTGAGAAGATTAAGAGTTAAACATACTAATCAGACAAAGGCGGAGAAAGATCAAATATACCATCTCCTTACCTGCCCGGAATATCATCAAGGCCAGCCATCCTTGCCGGCCACAAGCCACCACTCTCCCACCCAAGCCATCTAAACCTTCATCCACAGCGCCAACACACCCTTCGCATACTCTACAATCTCATCACCACCAAGCTTACTCTCACCGTACAACCGATCCACAAACGAAATCGGCACCTCCGCAACCGTACACCCCATCGCCTTAGCCCTCACCATCATCTCCATCTGAAACGTATACCCCTTACTCTCCGTCTGCCTAATAACCTTCTGCAGCACCTCCTTCTTATACAACCGAAAGCTGCCCGTGAGATCACTCACGCCCGGCCTGAGCACCGTATCCGCAAAAAGATTCGCCCCCCTCGACACAAACTTGCGCTTGAGATCCCAGCCAAACACGCCGCCGTCGCCCGCATACCGCGTTCCGGTAACGATATCGTAGTTCTTGGTCTTTTGTAAAGCGATCATGGGCGCGATGAACTTGGGGTGGTGGCTGAAATCCGCGTCCATGATGATGACGAAGTTTCCGGTTGCGAATTGCAGGCCGTGGACGTAGGCGGTTCCGAGGCCGAGTTTACCGGCGCGCGCGCGGATTTGGATGCGTGAGGGGGTGTAGGCTTTTTGGAGCTGGGCGGCGATTTCTTGGGTGCCATCGGGGGAGCCGTCGTCGATGATGATGAGTTCCCAGTCGAGTTTGCTGTTCATGCATTGTCAGCGTCGGCAATGGGGTGCAAGGTGGGTGTTGCGACGTACTTCTCCTCGAACGTCTTGGCCAGCAGCCATGTTATTATGGGCAGGTTGCGGCGCTCGTTGTAGGTGGGGAGGAGCACCGAGTACTTGTTGGTGTTCGCCATCTTTGCAATTGCGTGTGTGAGTTGTGTGTATCTGCGGAATTGGGTGAATGAGCGACTGCAGGTGAGGGTTGACGTTGGGGAGTTGAGGACTCGCGGAGGTGATCGTGTCCGCAAGTAGCTCGGGGCTGGCGGCGGACCCTGGACTAGCCTCTTTGGACCATCTCCTTCCGCAACGACATGGCCGAGTTTGGGTGGCCTTACACGTCGATGTAATATTCATCGCTATTCCCGCGCGAATTAGAAGAACATTGGGTCGATGCTATCGGATTTGTAGGGTAATGCCGGTCGATACGCCGGATACCCTCTCACCATGTCACCCATACCCCAGAAGAAAAACCTCTTCCTCTGTCTCGACGCCTTCGGCACCCTCTTCACACCCACGAAACCCATCCCAACAACTTACGCCGAAGCCGCCCTCAAGCACGGCATCGCCATAAACACGCCTGAACCCGCCACCCAAGTATCCTCATCCTTCAAATCCGCATTTGCGCGCCTATCATCAGAGCACCCAAACTATGGCCGGGCAACAGGCATGGGCGCAGAAAAGTGGTGGGCCAAAGTGATAAAGGAAACATTCACACCTTTCCTCGATCCAAACGAAACTTTCCCAAAGTACCTCGTCCCAGAACTCCTTCACACCTACTCGTCACGGAAGGGGTACACACTGTACCCCGACGTCCTCCCCTTCTTCCGCATGATACAGCATATGAAAACCCATCGAATACGTCACGGCGCTTCTCATGGACTCTGGCCCTGGGACAAGACTATAGTAGGCGTCATAACGAATTCAGATGACCGCGTCCCGAGGATATTGTCGTCCCTCGGTGTCAATATGGGTCCCTGGCATTACCCTGTTCTAAGGGCCCCCGGCCCCAAGGATGGAGAGTATGACATCGATTTCACGGTCCTGTCTTACGACGTCGGAGCCGAGAAACCTGATCGACGGATTTTTGCAGCCGCGGAGGACATGCTCGACCAGAAGCTAAAGGCCGCTTCGATGGTCGGTGACGAAGACTTCAGAGCAGAGGAGTTTGAGAAAGTCTACGTAGGCGACGACATCCACAAAGACGTGTTCGGCGCTCAAGACGCAGGCTGGTCGAGTGTACTCCTCAAGCGAGATCCAAATCTGCAAGGCGGCCAAGGCTACGGTTTGAAGATGGAAGAAAAGGGCGAGGATATTGGAGAAGGGGGAGAGGTAATCAGTGAGACTAAATTGGTGTCACAAGTGGGCTCCTTGCTCGATCTGTGTGCGTGGCCACGTCAGGTATCTGAACGGCATGAAATATCGCCCGTGCGATACGTGTATATAAAGGGCCCTGAGGAAGTATCGTTAGAGAAGGACAAGCGTCGACTACGAAAGCAGACGTAATTGACATGGCGCTGCTTGGTAAACACAGATAGTGAACAGCCGGTCACAAGCCCGTCGATAGTGTTTCATCAACCAAACGTCACACTCTCTTCCAAGGTCTCTGTCCACCCGCACACTCGTCACATCAGCAAATACCATCTATTGTATCATACGTCTCATTGCAGTTCATTCCATGTCAGTCGACAATCCAACCTCCAACCACCAACGCGTCAGAGACGAAAGACACTGAGTCCACATCTTGTCCATCAAACCGTCATACCCCATTCGTACCGCCGACCCATCTTGCCATTCGTGCCGAAGCCCCACCGCAAAAAGAAACATACGAAACATGATCATGTACAGAATCCACCAAACCAACCAGCCAAGCCAGCTAGCTCAGAGCCCAAAAAAGGCAGCCGAGCCAACTTGTTATCCAAAGCCCCATCCAAACCCTTGATTTTCGCAGGATTCCGTTTGCCAATTTTTGCGCCTGAAAGGTAATGCCCGACTGTGGTGTCCGCGTGGTATTAAGGGTTTTGTGTGACATCGTGGTAATGGAATTCGACTCGTGGTTGACCGTTATAATGCAAACAAAATGTGTGATTTGCTACACGATGAGAAACTACCTCATTCGAATGCGCGTTGGAAACGGATGTTCTTGTGTCACAACTCCTCATCCTCTTCCATCTTGGTTTCGATGGTGGGGATGTTGCCGTCGGAGTTCGCCCGGCCTTGGTTGTGGGCGTCCATGAGGGCTTGGCCTAGGCTCTTGCGCACGTTGTCGTCAAAGCCGGGTAATGAAGCGCGCTGCTTCTTGTAGGGTGAAGCGATCGAGTTTGTGCTGGGCTCTCCGGAGGTGTTCGCGGCGGCTGAGGATGACGCCTCTCCTGTTGACGCGTTTTCTGGTGCAGGTGTACCGGAAAGAGGAGATCCTGTCGAGTCGGAGTGGGAGGGTCCTGCCGGGCGGCCGAGAGGTTCTGCGGAATGTTGACGCTTCAGCTGTGATGTGTTAGTAGACGAAGTTCGAGCGACAACAATACACATACCTTGATCTTGCGCACGCCCTCTGCAAGTTCGCCTTGCCTGTGAGCATCCTCAGGCGACAGCAAGCCCTTGTCGAGAACCTCTTTATCGTCATCCGCGTCCTCCACCTTGACATCGTCCTCGTCGTCTGCGTCGCTGTCCATGGCATCCTCAGTCTTCTTCTTAGACTTGGGCGAAGTCTCTCGGTAACCTCCAAAGTTCTTTGTTCCAGCGGCCGCGTTCAAAGGCTTCAGGCTGCCAAAGTCGAGTGCGCCGGATTTCCGCTTGGTCTGTGGCGAGGTGATCTTGGGCGCCTCCTTGGTGTTCAGAATACCCATCTTCCGCAGTTGACCTGTCATTGGTTAGCGAAAATCTTGTATCCCTTGCTGTAAACTTACGCTCTCCGCGGTACAAAAAGGTAAAGACGGCGTAGGGCTTGTCCGGGGGATCTATGCCAGTTACAGTCTGGGTGCTGATAGACTTGGGGTCCAGCGTCTTAGGCTTTGCGAAACTCGTTGTGTGGTCAACGTCTTCGCCCTCTCCTCCTCCGTTTTGCTCGTCGTCATCGTGTGCGTCAAACTGGGGTGAGTACTCGCCGCGCTTGATCTCGCCAGACGCCAGGACGCGGAACAGGGCGACCTTGATTTGTCCGGCTGCCTCGGGCATGGGGGGCTCGTCGTCCGAATCGGAGTCGGTGGTGAAGAACTCGTCGTTGCCGGAAAGCGTCTCGACAGGCGCGTCCTTGCTTTCGCTGTAGCGCAGTACACCGTTGCCGGAGGTCTTCTTGTCCTCGTCGCTGCTGTCCATGGCCTCTCTCCGCTTTGCCCGCTTCTTTTCCAGGCGCTGCTTTCTCCGCTCAATCTTGGCGGCCACGTCCTTGTCCTTGCCCTCGAGATCCAGACCGTTGAGCCATCTCTCGAGACCGACCTCGCGGAAGAGGAACTCGCGCTCTGCGAGACCCCCGCCTTCTGACTCTGGCACGCTGACCCACCGTGAGTTGACCCACGTCTCTTCGCCGCGTCGCAGCAGGGTCGCTACTTCCTCCTTTGCCCGGCCGTCGAAGTATATGTATGCAGCGATTGTCTCGTTCGGCGAGGTGGTCAAGGGCTTGTACGGGGCTATCGTGGGACCGTACTTGCCCCGCTCTCCGGTTTGACCTGGAAGGCCCCCGACAATCTTCGCTTTCGGATTGGGGTCATCGTCAGTGGGCTTGGGCGTCGAGTAGGGCACGTGAAGACCTGGGGTGAGCAGAGTGATCGATATCGCGAAAGAAGACTGCTCAGGCTTGGTAGCGCCCGGCGGTATCTTTGCGGGTGGGACAGGGATGTACGAGGTGATACGGTGATGTTTAGATTGCTTCTGTATCGAGTATTCTGGGAGCGGGTTGCTGTCGGCATGGATGCTGACGGCGAGGCCTAGAAAGGTCGGCATTTTGATTTAGGCGTGGTGAGGACGGCTGCGAAGCTGCGGAGATGGCAGCGGAAGAGCCCTAACACAGTAGTCTTGGCAGAGTTGGGAGGGAGAAAATATCCCTGCGAATAGAGCGGCCGCCGGAGGGGCAGCTGCGCGAGTAAGTAGGCGAAGATGGGCTAGGAGGCGGTGTGAGGTAGCGACTCTGAAGGTCTGTGTTGTTGGTTTAGGCGGAGAGCTTCCGAGGGCGCTCCACGATGTTGGGGTCCACAAGTCGAGCACCCAAGTCACGAGCCAATCACGCGTGCACCTGATTGTTTCTGCGAACTTCAAAGAGCCGCCATCTTTCACGCATGTATCTGTTAATATCACGTCAAAGGATATGCTGCGACCATGCGTTTGGGCAGGGGATCGAATCAAGGGGCGTGCCTGTCGTCGATCGAACGTGGGGTCATGACTAGCGGCATGGCACCAGCCTGTTCGTGCCTTCCAAGTTGAAGGGAGCCCTGGCAGATATACGTTCGGACTCAATGTGTACGGACGACTCAACATTCAACATCACGCGTTACCCAGACATCATGAGTATGTGAGGCTAAGTTTTCATACGATTTGAAAATTCTAAAGATCAAAGGCAGCGGTGGGGTTTGAATTCCTCATCACCGCTCTTTACTCGCCGATGTCTCCACTTCTCTCTATCTAGGGTATCATACATGCTTCTTTAGTTCTTTTCGACGACCAGATGGGAGATCTCATCTGTTTTAGACATAATGCAGAACAATTGGATTCCTAATCCTCCTCATCCAAAGCAAACATATCCTCAGCTTTCGGTCTCAACCGCCTCGCCCTCGCAACAGCCGTCTCTCCGGGTATCTCAACCACCTTGTCCACCACCTTCGGCACGACTACTTCCTCTTTGACTACAGCGTCCGCTTCCGCCTCAGCTGCAGGTAGTGCCTCAGGCTCCTGCGACGCCAGTTGACTTGCAGTAGGACTCGGACTCCTAACCTCTTCTTTTACATCCTCGTTGTCATCAACGTCCATCGCTTGCTCACCCTCTTCTTCCTCCTTGTTCGCCCCAGAAGACGACGGTTTCTTAACAACCACCCCCTTCCTCCTCCTCTTCTCCGCCGCCCGTCTCTGCACCTCCACCTCCTCCCTCTCCCTCTCCCTCCTATTAAACGCATCATCCAACTCCTTCAACGTCTTCTCATCAAACAGATGATCCCCCGTCCACACCGCCAAAATCGCATTGACATCCTCCCTATACGTCCTTTCAGTCATCCGCCCCATCTCCAACCTCGCAGGCAACTGCTCCAGGTGTTCGAAAACTTTGCGTTCAACAAGCTCCGTTCCGATGGCTAGACGGTATTTGTAGGAGACGCCGGATTCTTTTGCGGTGACGAGCAGGACGTCGGAGACGATGCGGAGGGCGTTTAGGGTTACTTGGCGGAGGTCCGGGCGCCGGATGTCGTCTTTGACGGCCGCGTCGCCTGCGCGATTTCGTGTGTTGGCGTCGGTGAGTTGGAAGGGGTTGATGATGTTGGAGACGAGGATGCTGGTTACTTCGTCCATGCCCTGGGCGGCGTGTTCAACGGCAAAGGTTGAAATGGCAGCGAGGTCGTCGTAGACGATGCTGCCGGGTGGGATTGCGTTGATCATCCATAGGAGCATCGCTCGTGATCTGGGGTTCATGATGCCGTGTCCGTTGTCGACGCGGCCGGGATAGTTGTCGCCCACGGGTAGAGGCTTGAATATCGGCTTCTCCTTCTCCTCCTCCTCGTCGCTATCCAGACTCTCGTCGTCTGATTCGAACGCTCCCACGTGGTCGACGAACTCGTGGCGGAGCGGATCGACGGGGCCTTTCCAGGCGCCCTGCCCCGCAAAGATTTCGGAATCGGTGCTGTTGGTGACGATCTGATGGAGACGCCAACGGTAGTATCGGTTGACGGGGTGCTTTTGGTCGTATAGCCACGCGAAGCGCTCCTCTTCTTGTACTTGCGGCTCGTTCATCAAGGCCGCTTCGAACTCTACACCACCAAGAACGACGCCCTCGATAGTCTGATGTACCAATCTTAGTGTCGCGAGATCCGGAGGCTGGTTCGCAGTGATGATGAGATCTTCAGTGTTCTCGCGCGGCCCTCTACCCCCTCCCCCTCCACCAAGATCTGGCGGCGGCGCAAAGCCTTTGGGTAGCTCGGGTGCCTGCCACCGTGCGCCAAATGCCTTTGTCTGTTGTGTTGTGTCTGCTGTGCGACTGCCAAGATATCTGTCCAGATGTAGATAGTAGCCCTTGCCCAGATACTTCTTATCATTCAGTTTGTTCATCGCAGCGTCGAGGTCCCTCGCGTTGGCATCCTTGTCAAAGGTGATGTTCATCGTCGCTGAAGGCCTGCCCTCCACCCTCGAACCTTGTGGTATTCTGTCGACCCGCGCGATCTTGAGTGAGGGAAAATCGGCGAACAGCTCTTCGACGCGTCGCGAGTCTATTTCGGGCGGGAGGTTCGAAGCTTTCGCTACGACGGTGGTGTAGAAGTTCTCGGTCTGCTTCGGGCCATCGAGTGCGGCTGGGCCTGTAGGTACTGCTCCTCCAAATCGTGACTGTATCTGTGGCGCGAGGCGTCCTGAAGGTGCGCCTGGTCTGTTGTAGCCATCGAGAGGTTCGGTTTCGAGGGTGCCGGGGCCGCTCTTCATCGTCCGCTGCCTGCCTGTGAAATGTCTCTTGCTTCCCGTTGGGACAAAGACATCTTCCTCTTCCTGTTGCTCAACCTCGCCCAGTATACTCTTCTCGGCTCCGTGCTCCGCCTCGAAATCGGCCATGACCTTGTCGAGCGCATTCTTCTCCTCGCGCGCCTTCGCTTCCTCTTCCTCCTTCGCTTTGGCGTTCAATTGCGCCTTGTTGGCTTTCGCGGCGCCTAGGGAGAATTTGAAGGCCATGTTGGCGTATAATTATCGTATGGTCGTGTCAGCGTGTTTCATGAGGCGATTGCGGCATGAGGTGGAGGTGAGGTTTCGCGCAGTGCCAACCAGAAAGTTAAGCTTGCGCGTGAGGGTCCAGACTAGCGTCACGCCCAGGGCTTCCCCACGGCCCCGGGAATCTCGAACAACGTCATGCCACGGCCACAGTACCACGGAAACCAGACAATTCACCATGACCTCGGCGCAAGACGTTCAATCGCTCCTGCGCTTCCTATCGCAAGACGCCAAGGTCCCTCTCGCGCAAGCTCTATCCAAAATCAAAGACCTCCAAACGGCGAACCTCATCACGTAAGCACGTGACAGCGTACCACCGCGTCACTTCCCTATTGACAACCGCGCAGTCCATCAGACATATCCAGATCCTCCCACGAAACGCTCAAAACCATCTTCGCCGACGAGAAAGTCGCGCGCTCGGTTCTCAATGCCGCAAAACGACAGTCTAAAAAGCGCACCGCAGATGCTGCATCTGCTGCACCTGCGCCTGCGTCAAAGAAAGCAAAGGCAACCTATGGCCAACCTCTGAACGGCGCGGATCTTGAAGCGTCTCTCGCGCTACCAGCGCCTGAGTTAGATGAGGACATACTTGGCTCATCTGTTGTCTATACCAATCGCGCACCACTCGTCCTCGCTTTCGCAGTGACGCTACTCAAGTTCACGATGCCAAGCCAACCCATATCCAGTCGTCTCAGTCTAGCACAAGCCGTGACCTCTATGAATAGTAAGACGAAAGCCGTGAATATCGGTCTAGAAAAGGGGAAACCGGCGGAAGAAGAAGGCTGGGGCGAGGGACAGCCACTTGTGCGGATTATGACGAGGGAGGTTAGGGTGATGAAGAGGTGGGGTTACGAGTGGGAAGATGAGGCCGCGCAGAAGACTGTGAAGTCTGAGGGAGATGATGAGAATGGGGAGGAGACAAGGGAACCGGCGCTCTGGGGCGTTGATCTCGAGGCTTTGAAGAAGGCACAGAACTCAACGGTTGGCTCTAGTAATCTTCCTATTTACACTGCGCAGAGCGCGAGGGCGTACCTTTTGAGAGCGTTTGAGACACCCGCTGCGGAGTTAGTCAAGAAGGCAGATGGTGATGTTGACGTCAAGGTGGAGGGAGCGCCAGCACCGAAACCAAAGGGAAAGAGGACAGCTGCTACCATTGCAGCGGAGAAAGAGCGGAATCTAGGGCTTTTGCTGGGCGCACTGGAACTCCTGTATGGGTCATGGGCAAAAGTGCTGAGTAGAGAAGACCTAGATAAGCGGGCTTGGGGCTGGTATGTCCGCGTTCGACCAGAAGTAGCTCAAGGAGCTGCGGGCTGGGGTGGCAAGGGCAATGTCAAGTTGTCTGACATCCTGGCCTTGAGGAGACCGGCTAGTTGATGAGAAGACATCGACATATGCAAGATACCCCGATTCATTTACAACTTCTCTGCCATGCTCTTGAATTTTCTACTTCTACAGCTTGAACTCAGCGTTACTCCGCTCCCAACCCACTCCACCACCATCCCTACGCCCAGCCAATCTCTCCGCCAAGCCGAGTTTCTTCTCCCTATTCCTCTCCGTACACAACTCATACACTGTGCTCAAATTTAGCACCAGCGAGTGAAACGGTGAACTATCGTCTACCAGCTGACTGAGTATGTCTCTGGCATCCGATATCCGACCCGTATAGAGCAGACATACAGCCAGATTCTGCGCTACCATTGCATCTTCAGGGAACTCTTCGTGGAGGGCTTGGAAAGATTCGGCAGCGGCGGCGTAGTCTGAGTCGGCGAGCTGGATGAGCGCGTTCAGTGTTCCGTCTACGAGGGCGTCTGCTGAGGCGGAGGATGCGCGAGCGAGACAACGACGTGCTGATGCCATATCACCGACTCTCAGCCAGACGAGTGTCTCCATCAGAGATATCTCCCTGGTCTGATCACCGTTCGCAGCAAGAGTTGCTAAATGTCTCCCTGCGCCCTCGAAATCGCCCATCTCCACCAGCACGTTCGCAACACGAATACCGCAGTCTCGTAGCCGCGATCGCCAAATCGCTTTATCCTCGTCTGAGCCTGCCTTGAGGATGCTCTCCCTGCATTCGCGTGCGAGTTCGTAGTATCCCATGATACCCTTCCGCCATTCTCCGTATCCTAGTGCTGCTAGCCGTACGACAAGGAGGCGAAGATCCCAGGGTACGAGATGGGCGTTTGTGAGGGGGTGGCGGTAGAAGGCGCTGTTGAGGTCACCCAGAACTTTGGATTCCTGCGCCGCGAGCGCGTGCTCTTGGAGTAGGCAGAGGCATGCTAGGCGTACGTGTATTAGGTGGAGTAGCGTATCGTGGTCGCCTGGCGCAGCGGAGATGAGGTTGCGCGCTGCGGCAATGGCGGCGAGACGGTAGTGTCCTGATAGGAGCAGCGTGTCTATCGGCGAGGATATCGGCGGGGCATGCGGCGCATTGAGGAACGGAGGCGGGACATTGGTGACTGGCAAAACGTGATATGCCTGCGGGTCCTGGAGGAAGCTGAAGTCCTTATGGGGGATGTCGTCGATGCCGCGTGTTGGGCCCTCATACGACGGCTGCGGGGAAGCTTGAGGCCGTGCTGGCGACCGAACGCGCGCAGGCAGGGTGGCGGTACTCTCAGCGAGAGGGCTGCATCATTGTGTAAGCGCGTGTCTTGTATCCGTATCATCTGCCGGCTGGATAACTGGGCGCATACTCGTCTATAACGATGTCATCGGCGTCGAGTGGACCCTTGGTCGTACGGCGCGTCAGGGCGGCTGTTCTCTCGATTAGTCACCCCATGTCGCACGTGAAGAGCAATCAACGCACTTCGTCGTCGCTCGTCGCCCGAGGCAGCGCGGCCATGGCCTCGTCCAGGGGGAACTTGCATCGTGTCTATGGTGTTCCCACCGACTAAGACGGCTGTCACAGCGCTCCGATGTTCGGCAGCACTCTCTCGAATTGCGGGGATCGCCCAATCAAGACCCCTGCCACCGGGGCCAAACGACTCCACTAACTTTTCATATGCGCCACGAACCTGGGCCCGACGAAGACTCAAAGGCGAACGGCCAATTGACTCAAAACCGTCCGTCAGCTTCCACTTCCCTCCCACTCTCTCTCCCACGTCGCTCTTGCTTTTGCTGAATCTCCCCTCTGTGCGTTATTAATACTTCGTCCTGAGTGGACGTCATAATCGCCATGCAGCAGTCACGCACACGAGCTGTAAACGCTCTCAAGGGCAACCGCAACTTTTCCACCTCCACACAGCGACTCGCCGTCTCACCTTTCCGCAGACCCGCGCAGGCCGTCTCGAGTAAAATCACCCAGGAAGATGCGAAGCGACCGCAGAGCACCCAGGCGGCGGCCCCACAAACACAACCACGCTCAAGACCGTCGCCCGCCTTCAACCGTGAGGACCACAAGGATGTCCAGCCGCTGAAGCCGTACCGCTCGCCTGCAATGGACCACTCGTTTGTTGGCATGACCGGTGGAGAGATCTTCCACGAGATGATGCTCCGCCAGGGCGTCAAGCACATCTGTATGACACATCTTACATGCTTACATGAATTGCGTGCACCAAATTCCAAGTACTGATACTAACACTTCTCAGTCGGCTACCCTGGTGGTGCGATTCTCCCCGTCTTCGATGCGATCTACCAGTCAAAACACTTCGACTTCATCCTGCCACGACATGAACAGGGCGCCGGCCACATGGCAGAGGGTTACGCCCGCGCGAGTGGAAAGCCCGGTGTTGTGCTCGTTACCTCTGGACCCGGTGCCACCAACGTCGTCACACCCATGCAGGATGCGCTGATGGACGGAACACCCCTGGTTGTCTTCTGTGGTCAGGTCGTTACCAGCGCAATTGGCTCCGACGCTTTCCAGGAAGCCGACATGGTCGGCATTACAAGGCCGTGCACAAAGTGGAATGTCCTCGTCAAGAACGTGGCGGAACTCCCGCGGAGAATCAACGAGGCTTTCGAGATTGCGACAAGCGGACGCCCAGGACCTGTTCTCGTTGACTTGCCCAAGGATGTTACAGCCAGTGTCCTCCAAAGAGCTATTCCCATGAGCAGCACCCTCCCCACCACCGTCAGCGCTGCGACCATCGCCGCGCGCGAGCTTAGCAAGCAGCAGCTGGACCACTCCATCCGCCGCTCCGCCGACTTGATCAACATGGCGAAGAAGCCCGTCATCTACGCTGGACAGGGTATCCTCCAGACAGAGAACGGACCCCAGCTCCTGAAGGAGCTCTCCGACAAGGTCAACATTCCCGTAACCACCACTCTGCAAGGTCTGGGAGGATACGACGAGCTTGAGCCCAAGTCCCTCCACATGCTCGGTATGCACGGTTCGGCCTATGCCAACATGGCCATGCAGGAAGCCGATTTGATTCTCGCTCTTGGTGCTCGCTTCGATGACCGAATCACTGGTGCCATCTCCAAGTTTGCGCCCGCGGCAAAGGCAGCAGCGGCTGAGGGCCGTGGTGGTATCATCCACTTCGAGATCATGCCCAAGAACATCAACAAGGTCGTGCAGGCGACCGAGGCCGTCGAAGGTGACCTCGGCACCAACCTGAAGCAGCTCCTACCTCTTGTCAACGAAGTTCCCGAGAGACCGGAGTGGCTCGGACAGATTGCCGCCTGGAAGGAGCGTTTCCCTTGGGCCTACGAGAAGGAGGGCGAGAACGGCCTCATCAAGCCACAGACCGTCATGGAGAAGCTCTCCGATCTCACAGCCCACCGCAAGGAGGAGACCATCCTCACCACCGGTGTCGGCCAACATCAAATGTGGTGCGCCCAGCACTACCGCTGGAGGTACCCACGCACCATGATCACATCCGGTGGTCTAGGAACCATGGGCTACGGTCTCCCCGCCGCCATCGGCGCCAAGGTCGCACGCCCAGAATGCACCGTCATCGACATTGACGGCGACTCCTCCTTCAGCATGACCCTCACTGAACTCTCCACCGCCGCTGAGTTCAACATCGGCGTCAAGATCATCATTCTCAACAACGAGGAGCAGGGCATGGTCACACAATGGCAAACCCTCTTCTACACCGATCGCTTCGCGCATACCCACCAGCGCAATGCCGATTTCGTTAAGCTCGGTGATGCTATGGGTGTACAGGCTAAGCGCTGCATTAAGCCTGAGGAGCTCGAGGACAGCCTCAAGTGGCTGTTGGAGAGCGATGGCCCGGCTCTGCTGGAGGTTGTTACCGACCAGAAGGTGCCTGTGCTGCCTATGGTACCGGCTGGAAGTGCGCTGCACGAGTTTATGATTTACGACGAGAGTAAGTGATGTCGAATTTTGTATTGTGGCGACGAATGCTAACGTAATCGCAGAAACTATCAAGGACCGCAGAAAGCAAACTAAGGAGCGATCAGGTCGTTAAGACTTGTTCCCTCTTTGTCAGAGTTTGTTTGATTCCCGTGTAACTTCATTCGTTGTGTATATTCTTGGGTCGGGTCGGTACCGGCGTTTTCTTCTTTTTAGCTTAGCATATGTTTGGTTGGTTGGTTGCACGCATGCAACTTGGTTTCCCATCGGGGGAAAAGTCAAAAGCGAGATATCAGTCTTCTTTAGTGGGATCTAGTAAGAGGTGGATGGGAAGAAGAGTGGGATGCGAAAGTGGAATACTATTTTTTTAACTGCATGTGTTCTGTTGTTGTTGGTTGTGTGGGGTGCGGGTAGGGTGAACGGTCGTACCAGTTCGAGGATGAAGATTGCAAGGACGTTGACTTGATGGAACGGCGAGTGTCTTCTTATGTGGGTGATGTTCGGGTTAACCGTGAGTGGGCTTCGTCTTACCTTGTGTCCACCCTCTCTCATGGCAGAGCCACGGTATCTCGTGAACCATAACTCTCAATCACTTTCAGATTCATATAAAAGACGGCGGAAGAATGCATCAGTTCTCAACAACCATCCATCCCAAACTACATTCACATCCCAATTCACATTCACAGAAAAGGCCTTCATCTACACACGCATCAAGCAAGTCAAATACGCATATCAAACCCGTCATCCAGAACCCCTGGACCATACAAACCCACCACACCACACCACACACACCCCACCACCACACACTACAACCCAGCCATGGGCTCAACAGCAACATCCCACTGCTGGCGCGGCCGCAGCACCTCTATCTCCGCCAACCTACCTCTTGCGGAGGAGTCATCTGAAGATATGTTCGACTTTGTGTTTGGCGACCAAAAATATCCATCGAACATGTCTTCATGGGAGAGTGTGGCGGTGGTCGACAGGGTGCCGTGTAAGGAGGTGTGTGGAGTGGAGAGTGGCGGTGTAGTGGGTAAACCAGAATTATCCAGGCGGTGTTTGACTACTTCGACTATGTCGGTATCCTCCAGCCTCCCGCATGCGGAGTCATTTAAAGCCA